AAACGACGTCCAGTTGGCTTGTAAATGACGATCGACGACATTCCCCATATAATTTTACATATAAAATGACAGCGATCTTCATTTCATAGCTAGCGATCTTCATTTCATAGCTATCGCTGACGCCGTCTTTTTTCGATGTCGTTTTGTATAGTTTTTATGTCATTTTATATGGGGAATATCATCGATCGTAATTTACAAGCCAACTGGACGTCGCTTTTTTTCGATTATACGGTATAATAATGAATCTAGTCAATTCCCTTCACACTTGCTTACGGATTCAATGAATAATGCAATTTTTAATATTCATTTGTGAAATTGTCATTTTCAAACAAACAAGACGCCGTTTTTTTCGATCATACAGTACATAGGTATATACACGTTTAAAACATAATATGTTATTACATTATTTTTTATTTAATTATACATTATACACACGTTAATAAATAAATAATTGTCTTGATAATCAGTCCACTGTGACTGTTAAATAAATTTTGCATTATCGACTTAGATATTCTAATATTATAAAGGTGAGACTATAAAATACAAAATTGTATATGCATTACTCAAAAATGAACGATATATTAGTTTACGTTTTAATAAATATTTTGTACCGTCTAGGTACAAGCTAATTTCTGATGCTACGCCATTGGAGAATCTCGCGTGGTTTGATCGCCACTTTACGAACTACTTTCAATTTAAGACATGTTTCACTCAACAATTTTAAATACGTATTTTGTTTTTTCGCTATTTTTTCGATGTATTTTGACAGCCCGACCGTCGCGCGTCGGCCAAGAGTGCCACGTGTGAACTGGTCCTTTGAGCTTTGAGCCGCGCCGTCGTGGCAGGCTTGCGTCAGACGACGATGTTAAGCAGCGTTGCCGTAGTTACAACAATTTCAAATTCAAGAGATTCGAAGCAATCAAATTTGTATTAAATTTTAAAAATAAAACAGAGAAACATGAAAGGAAACAAACAAAACGAAAATGAATTGATTATTTGTCGGGCTGTTTTCGATATATTGAATTCTGAATTACGATAAACAATTTAGAAATTTCTTTTTTGTGACCTTATCAATAATCAATTCATTTGTGTTTTGTTTGTTTCCTTTCATGTTTTCTGTTTTATTTAAATTTAATAGAAGTGATTGCTTCAGTATCTTGAATTTGAAGTGATGGCCGGCAACCTCTGACGCAAGCTCGACACGCCGGCGCGACAAAGAAGCAGTGAGCAGTTACCAACCAGTAATGCGTGGCTGTCTTGGCCGACGGGTGGTTGGGCTGTTGACGGAATTGTCGAAATACATCGAAAAAATAGCGAAAAAGCAAAATACGTATTTAAAATTGTTGAGTGAAACATGTATTTTCTTAGATTGAAAGTAGTTCGTAAAGTGGCGGTAAGAGACAATAATTCTCAACATTTATTCATTCAGAAAGATATGCAAAGTAATGTGTAATGTGTGCTTTTCAAGGTGTTTTGTAAATCAGTGGTTCAAATTGTGATGAAGCCTATACGAAAATAATGTGTTAAGTTAAAAATGGGGACTGTTATTTTAGCAGTTTTTATAATAGCACGTACAAGTAAAGCAGCACAATGGAGTGTATTTAGTTAAGCGTGTATCGAAAAAGAGAACTGTCGCAGTTACATCGATCTGTCATAAGTATCTTTTTTAATGTTGGGTAAGTTTTTTTAATTTAACTTTTAAACATTTAACTTTTAATTTATTTTATGTAATAATATCACAATCTTAAAAATGTAATGCATCTCTGCAAACTCCTCAGGTGTTGTGATTTTATGACTTACTTGTAAACATATACTTTCTTGTCCATATGGCAACACAGTGCGTCGAATTAACTGAAATCCGGGTAATTGGATGTAGTTGGCAATATCTGCCGGCGGTTCTCAAAATGTTGCGATTATTTTTTTAAATTTTCAAAGTTAAATAACTCAGTTATTTTCAATTTATTTTAAAAATGGTAAAGAGAAAATATGTTTATTTTGACCAGATCTACCACCTCTTAAAATATCTGCACTCATTTCTGGGACACCCTGTATATCTTTATTATTTGACATTTTAAGCAAAGTTTAAAAAATAATTACAAATGTTAGATTATACTAAAAATACTTTTTTTCCATAGCAACTGTTAAAATTTCCGTATATCTATCAAAAATAGTAGATAAAATAGCACTTTAACCGCAAGAATAGATTAAATGATACTTTAACAGCGAGGATAGGTTAAAAACTTTATTTCTTCTCGCACGTTTCTTAATTGCTTCCAATTTTGAAAATTTTTGTATTCCTTTTCATAAGTTATTCGGAATTTAAATGGAAGTAGTTTGGATATGGCATTTGTCGCCTCAGCCTGAATATTTGTTGGTAATTTACTTATTTCGTTTTGAGCCATATTCAATCAGCAATCGACACGGAAGAGAATTATAAAATATTGACTCAAAACTGACAACTAAAAAGACAGCTTTATTTATTTGTCAAATTACATAGAAACCAACGCCAACCCAGCACAATATTTTTCTACTCGTAATAAATTCCTTGAAACAATAATTTCTGAATATTTTTTAAAACGTAACTCGCTATGGAAAAAAAATTGTTCTATACACGACGATAAAATTGCATTATCGTCTTGTATAAAAAACAACAATTTTTTTAATTGAATTGATTTTGAATTTGAACGGTCCGTACTTCTGCTTTTAGTCGGCAGAGTGGGTGGTTTCCGGAGACTGTGTTGCCAGAACTATGGACTAACCCGTAAATTTGCGGATTTTGAGTACGGTACGTCAATAATACGGATTTTCTATCATTAAAATCTAAAAGTTTCCATCATATGAGGGGCTCATAGTCCATAGCGAGCGATATAATTAAAGAAATATAAATAAACCTAATTTTAATCAAGATACTAAAGCACAGAAATATTTTTCTATATATCTAGAATAATTATTTGTGTTGTTTATTCTATCTATAACACGAATAAATGTTCAATACATAAACGCGGATTTTTTATCCAAAGACATTTTCGTCAAACGTATTACAGATATTACACATCTGGCAACACTGTGCCTTTCAGTGCCACACCGTCACTAATCTCCAAAAAGTGAAGCCCAAACAGTGAAAGAGAAATATGGAATTCTGCATAAGTCTATTTCACCCGGATATTCATTTAACTGCGCATGCCTTACCTGAAGAAGTTTTCATTGGTCGGTTTTTTAAAGGGAAGTGGTTAACTGACATTTCACCTAACCTTCAATTCTATTTATATTTGTAATATTTATAACACATTATCGTGGAGTTAGAAAAATATCAAAAAATAGTTGAAAACAATAAACTAAACAAAATCATTATTTTACGCACACAAATAAAAAGTAATTCAAATAGAACTAAAACAACAATCAATCGGAGTTTGGCGCAATCGCAATTCAATCGATATCCGGGTGAAATAGACTTATGCAGCATTAATATGCAGCTGAGTTATGTTGTCTTTTTCTTACGGCACGAAAACTGCACACGGGGTTAAATAGAGAACACTGAATATATTTTAGTTATATGTATATGCTTCGATATGCCTACGCTGGCCGAATTAGATAAAATGAGTGTTGGCCGCAGAACAAGTTGAGGCTCCACCGTACTGCACTTGAGACGTAAGGGGAAATCAAATCAGTCTTGTCATGAATTCGCCCAATAGGTTGCGTATTTTCCCAATACTTTTAATCAACGATATTAGGATATTAGCAAGGATAACTTGCTAATATCATAATCAAATAAGCTCCTCGTAAAGCCAACAATGGGCCCAACTACAATGAGAGTATCTAAATATGTAAGGGAAGCTCTCGGGGAAGCTACATCTTAATACTGAAAATGAGGGTGATGATGACAGACCGTATGATCGAAAAAAAGGGGTCCAGTTGGCTTGACATTTCCCATATATTTTTTTCCCTATGACATTTCCCATATAATTTTACATATAAAATGACAGCGATCTTCATTTCATAGCCATCGCTGACGCCATTTTTATTCGATCATACGGTACTTTAGGTATGGATTTAAATAAAGTTCCTAAATTTATTATTAAAAGAGCTACAGATCTCCGACGCACTGTTGCAGGGCCCTGTATTTTATTTATGTATTAAAATCAATGACTAAAAAATATAAGGACATGTAACGCCCATATACGGGCATACAGAATTATTTCTTATTAAAATTTTATTTAATTAATAATTATTATTCTTCTTTCTATTATCTGGTCTCCAGCGACAATTTTAGCGATTTTTAATAGTTTGTGTGTAGTGAACTTTGTATAAACTTTATGGCAATGGTGATTAGTTGTTCGACTTTCAAGTATAAAAGCAGCAGCGATAAGAAAAAGCCAGGAGTTACGTCTAGTCACCTGTTTAACGTTTTCTTAGTTTTCTTATTGAACTCGATAATTATTTTTCTGATATTATATATACTTGATGTGTGCTATACGTCGATACTAGTTTTGTACCTTTTGTTAACATTTTAATACGTTTTTTTCGTAATTAATTAGTATGATACCACCGTATACACCATAGGCGTAGTCAAACCATTTATCAAAAAATATAAATATCTCTTCAAACAGCTAGGTTAAGAAAAACATGTGCCACGACACTGTTTGGTGACATCGTCACAATTTGCTCTCGGGTGTTATTTGTCCTTGGATTCTTTAGTCATTGATTAAAATTTATTTTTAGGAACCAATTTATCTCCATATTGCTTTTTAAAGCAGCAAAAATACTTAACTAATTCCAAACTAATGGCAAAGTATTGCCAATGGGGTAAAAAAAATGAAATAGAATAATCACAAATAAATGGAAATTAAATAATCACAAATAAATGGGAAATAATGCTCTGCAGCACTACGTCGTTAACAGGTCACGAGCCGCCACTGATATAGACAGCAAATTATATACTTGGTGATGCTAAATATACCTAGTAAAAGATTGATTTTGCTTAAAATTAAATATTAACTCACGATGAATTATTTAAAAGTGTGTCCAGTTTAGTTCGAAGCTCGTCGCTTGTAAAATCATAAATATTAATCCTTTCGGCGATGCCTCTGCTGACGCATTTATCAGCATTGTTTGGCTGATCCCCATACACCGGCATTATCAACATAGGAACCCTTCTATCCACTGCTTCGTCAATAGATTGACAACCTAATATGCAATAAAAAATATTAATTACTTAGCAGCAATTTATAAATATAAGTAATTTATTTAATAATTATATACAGGGTGGCGCCACTCATACGCCGCGGAAGCTCCAAGGAGAACGGTAGTTTATATCGAAATGAAATTTTGGCAGCAAATGTAGGTTAACTGAAAGCATTTTATAAAAAAATTTATAGAATTATACAGGGTGTCCCCAAAAAAGTTACACATCAAAGTTGTGTTTTTTATAACGGAACACCCCTACATATTAATTGATTTTCGGATTCTAGGAGAAAAATAAAGGTGAGTTTAATTAAAGAAGCATATGCCTAAAATCTAAGGATTTTGACATATTTCACATTTTGTGAAAATGAAAAGCAAATTTTAAATTTCGATAACAGCTACCTAAATTTTAGTTGTCTTTGTATAGCCTGATATTTAATTACAGTAACCATTGTATGTTAAACCAAATTTAAATTTGACCCGAAAAGTTATACAGGGTGAGACAAAATTAATATGGAACGTTAGTCACTTTTAAAAGCAAGTTACTCTTTTATTTTAAATGGAACACCCAATATATTTTGCCGGTGTTCAATAAGGAATTTATATATCTTCAAAATATTATTAAGGTTGCCTACCCCTCAGACAAAGATTTTCCTAGACATTTTAATTTTTATGACTTTGCGTCAGTAGATCTTTATTATTTGAAAAAATCTAGGTGGCTGTGTGATATACCTTTTGTTAAAATAACAAAAATTAAAGATTGTAGAGTAATACACTCAACGGTAATAAAAAGATACACGTTTAAAATATATTTTAATTATTACAGAATTAAAACTAGATATAAACCTATAATTATGTGAAAAAAATCAGCTAGATGAAATCAAATGCTCAAAATGCTTCCTTTCCTGTTAACTGCATAAAATGATTGTCTTTTCAAAAGGATCTTTTCATTTTAAAAGGCATATGTGGAGTTCGACCTCTAAAAGCAGCTACAATAATTTCTCTCATGTTATCGTCAATAATTGGTCGAGTTTTGTAAGTACTGTCTTTAACGCATAAGATAATAAGCATTAAATATTTTTTTATTCATTCACCAACAATTTTTTTTTTCACCAAATTTTATGCATTCACCAACTAACAGAATCATATCAATTCTTTCTGATGTAGGATAAGTTTGCATTTTTGGCAAAATTTTGATTTTTTTTTCTTTTAACTGATACAAAATTTAGTTTACTATTATATTTAGAACTTCAGTTAGTTTAATCATTCTGTTAGTTTCTATTAATTCTCAATTAATTCGCTCAAAAAGTAACTGAATAATAATTGGTGGAAAGTTTACAGGTATAAGAAGTGTAGAACTCTATACATATATTTCCGTGGTTACATTTTAGGAAATCAAAAAACTAATTACATATTCTCATAGCCACTTCATTAGGGCTATCTGATAGTAGTATTAGATTTTCAAATTCGCTGATAAATTGTGAGATACAGAGGCGAACTTAATTTTTTTAAATACGGACCTGCATTTTTTATTTCAGGTTTTGAAAGAACTCGGTCTCCTGAGTATAAGGATATGCCATACTTCATACTTATTTTTTGTTTCGGGTACCTTAACAACAACAAAACTATTTAAATATTATTTAAAATAATTTCAAGTACGACTGTGTTTTTTTTTTAATTAATTTTAATTTTTAATCTGATGATATTCATCGCAACAATATTGATCAGCGCTAATTAACGTTGAATAAAGAAAATTGAGCCAATTCAAAGATTCAAATAAATGATATCAAATAAATGATATCAATGTAAGTAAGCAATTTAAAGATATTATTTTTAACTTTTTTATTGTAAATTTGGAATCTCAGTGTACGATCTATAAATATTCATAATATTGATCGTAGTTATTATAAATAAATCAACTTCTATAAATTAATTTCTAATGCTCTACATGTTCGAAAGGGTTACCACCCTCCCTCTAATGCACACATTTATTTTTTGTTCAATCTTATTTATAGCTCTTTGGACATAACTTCTTGTTATAGTTCCGAATGGGTATTTTGTACTCTTTATTGTAAATGTTGAGATGTATTGGTTTCACTTTCGCAAATGGGACGCCAAGTAATGCCCGTTTAGTTATTGCATTTGATTTTCCGTATTCAATGTTCTACCCCACGTCATTGTTAAGTTTGAAAGCTTATCAATATTGTAACGATGAATAGATTAAATATTACAAAAACAGAGCCGGACTTGACATTATTTTAAATAAATTGTGTTAAAATAACCGAAACAAAAAAGTATCAAGTGTGGCATATCATCGTACTCAGGAGAACGAGTTCTTTCAAAAACTGAAATAAAAAATGCAGGTCCGTATTAAAAAAAATTAAGTCGGCTTCTGTATCTCACAAATTATCAGCTAATTTGAAAATCTAAAAATACTACCAGATAGCCCTAATAAAGTGGCAATGAGAATGTGCAATTAGTTTTTTGATTTCCTAAAAAGTAACGCAAGGAAAAAATAAAAATGATTTTCAAAAAAATCCATTTTTTCCAAAAAACTCAGCAATCCTTGAAATTTAAAAAAAAATTTGATGGCATCTTGGTGAACATCTTAAAGCGCAACTTTGCCCCAATTTAACCATGTTCGTATCTATTACGGTTACGGAGATACCAATGCTCGTACCTCGAATTTGTAGCACCCTGTATAACCATTATAATTTGGCTTTTTACGATATGAAAGCACTTATAGTTAGAATAGTTTGTTATTACCATACATACCTCCTTGTGTTATAAATAGCTTTATTTTCGCATGTCCCAAAAGATCTTGTTGAGGATACCATTTCCGAATATGGAAATTTTTGGGAATATTTTTTGGCAAATTGATAAGGTCGGATTTCCAGAGAATACTATAAGGCAGGGCTGCTAGAACTTTTATTATAATATCCATTGACTCCTTGGGTATTTTAGAAGATTTTACATTTGTTCCTAAACTAAAATATATCACATCTGTTTTTAGATTATCTAGATACTCTGCTAAATCCTAAAATAGAAAGAAAATATTAATGGCGTTGACACTTTATTGAAGTGAAACTTCTTTACAAGCGTTAGGAGAAGAATTCAAGACCGTGATATACAGAATTGAATTTTCCAGCTCAGAATTAGAATTTAGAGTTAGTAACTCGCATTCATTGGAGGACAATGTTCAAACCAATAATCAACGAGAATATTCGTATAATTTAATAAAATTAATTACGCTGTAATTTCTGTATTATTAATCCGGTAAATGATGGAGATAGACAATTGTGATTGATTAAAATTTTATTTTAATATGAAACTTTTGTTAACAATATTCTGAGAATTAGAATAATGAATTGAATAATGACAAGACAAGTGACATCTGTCTAAAAAAGACAGCGATTTAAAGTGACAATTTAGTTATGTAAAATTTAGAGTGACAATTTTGATTTTACAAAAGGAATACATATTCCTTAGTTTACTGGTTGTCTGGCCAATTAATATTAATTTAAAAATAAATCCCCAACATGATTAATGAACAAAACATTTAAATAAAAACAGATACAGACCACACAAAACAAATTGTTGGAGTAGCATTTAGTAGTAGTCAGTGATATGTAGTATGAGATGTAGAGAATTATTTTTTTTTTAATAAAAATTAAAAAATATTAAAAAATTATAAAGCTAGAATAGTATACGGTTTTATATTAACTCTAATTTTTTGAAATTTTATAAAAAGCATTCATAAAAAAATATATATTCTTCCTTCAATTTAATAGATGTTAGTAAGAAGTTTCACTTCACAATATGCGCACATGGTGCACACACAATTTTTTAAAAGTCCATTTCACTAGTCCGAAAAAGTAGCAAATTAAGCGTTCGGCATTTAACGTTTTATGTAAAACTGGCTAGGTATTTTTACACAAATGAAGAAGAAAATTAAAGATAAAGAATTATACTATATTCGTATTGTAGCACATTTTTAGACAACTTCTTTATTTTTAAGATTTTGATGGTCAAACATCAACAAAATATTCCTTATGTGTGCACTAAATTTTCTGGAAGATAAAGGCATAATTTAAAATTCCGTTACAATACGGAAATAGACTGAAATATTGTGATTACAGTGATATATAATTTATATTGTTTTGTAACAAATTGCTCGCTATTTTATGGCAAATGCTAAGTTCTGTAAACCCTAATCAATCCTTAATCAAAGCATGTGTGTTTGGAATTTTGGGTGTGGCTTAACACGACAGGATCGGGCTCAGCCTAAGGTATGTTCGGCAGGTTTTTTGCGCCGCGCACGACGTGTTAAGCTGAGCGTTTAACATCATGCACTCATTCCCGCGAATTTCAATAGGAGTGTTTTCCTAGAGGGCGCATTACACCAGCGCAGAACGTGTTACGTCGACGCGATAGACCCGACTGCTTTTGGAGGAGTCAGTTGCGTTGTACGCTACGTGATTTGACCAGTTTGTTTTGAAAATTGTTAAAAAAATGTCCCTAAAACAAGGAAAGAAAGTGTTTCTCTCCAGAAATAATTGACAGAGAGGCAGCAAGACAGAGGACATTTTAAAAGGTGCATCGAAGATCTCCTATTTATATTATAATTTTTCTTAATAAAAACGCAACAATTAACTTCCTTTTCATGCACATAGTCGCCATTCTACTTGGTTCGCGACTTTCCTAGGCCAACTGAACCACGCCACTTTTACGCCGCGTAAAAAAATGTGCGCTTCTGCCGACGTTTTTTTAGAAATTCAGTTACTGCTGCGCATAAAACCTGCCTCTAGGAAAACATACCTTTAGGCAGATTTCTGAAATATAATATAATATCTGACAAACGAATCTAAAACAGCGGAAGGAATTCGGGCAAAAAAAGTCGATGTTGTCACGTTTAATTATAGAAAAGCAAAGTTGCTCGATATTACCTATAAATTGAATATATTTTAGTTCATTTCAGCATACATAATTATATATATGCTAATATGTTGACGTAGTTCTTATTGTAATAATGTATATTTATCTAATTAACAGTTTTCGTTCATTCTGCCTATTATAAAAGGTAAAGTATTTCCTTAAGATAATGTCCGCTTCGGGTAAGCTGTCAACGCTGACAAAATTCATCATGGCATCCCGGATTCAACCAGTCTGACTGGACGAGATTCTCGCACGTCTTGCCGCCATTACCCCCAACTTTATGCCCCTCTCTAGGAATAGTAGAAAGTCACTACTATTGAAAAATCCAGTGGCGGGGTTATTGTATTGTGTTTTATATCTTTAACTTGATTTGTGTTTATTGTAATTAGTACACGCGTTTTAACAAATATTATGGCAATGACTAAACAAAATGTAGGTACATTGAAAGTAAAATAATATTATAAACTTTACTGGAAAATATTATAAAAATTCCTGATATATTTTTATGAAACGCCGCACGCTCGTGGATATTTTATGAATGAAATCGGTCATGATTTTAGAAAATTGCGATCTCGTCACCGTTGCCCCGTTGTTTCAGATCCGTTTGTCAGACTGTATATTTCCTTCGGCTACACACCCGCTTTACCCGACCCCTGAGAACGACCCGAACAGTACAGCGTAATACACTCTTAAGTAGGTAACTTACTTTTGGTAAAGGCTGTATAGGTTGAACGTGCAAAGAAGAAACAGGGATATATTTTCCATTTCTTGCCTTCACATTATCTAGAGCAAAATTAGAACTTCCAATAACTAATTCTACTTCTTTCACTAACTGGTTGGAGGATTTCGTAACATCGCTAAAATACTTTTTTATCTGTTTATCGAAAACAGGTGCAATTTTGTATCTAAAAAATAACCTATACGCCCAAGAAAATATCCAGCTCTCTAATCTTTCCTTAAAATTTCTGGCGAACGAAAACTTCAGGAAAACATCCGGATGAACTACCGGATGTTTGTCGATACCCAGAGCATCCGCCATAGTAGTACTAATCGGTATAGACAACAGTCCAACCATAGGAACTTTATAGACTTCCTTGAAGGCGTAGAACGACTGCCACATGAATTCCACAATCAGCAAATCGTACGTGTCGTTATTAACGTTTTTGATTACATCCTGTAGGAAGGAATGGTTAAGTTGTGATTCGGCTGCTTCGTTAAGTGCCAAAATCACATTCATAACGTTCTCATCTGATGCACTATCGGATATTTCAAAGTTACTGGCATTTCTAAATACTTCATAACTAAAACTCAAATCGTGTTCGGTCAAGTTAGTTAGAGATTTGTCGTTTATAGGACTGGGCGTGTATACAGACACTTGATGGCCTCTCAAAGACAGTTCTTTCCATACCGGTTGGAAAACAATTTGATGGCTGACACTAGGGGTCATAAAGATACATAAAATGTTTGCCCCATATGTAGACACGAACAATAAACACAGACACAGAGAAATATAAAACATTGTTTACTTCAACTTTACACGCATTTTATGGCAGTATTTGTTGGAGATGTTCTATTTTATAAGTGGATAGCAGCTTAGTTTCAATTATCTCGAAAACACTCGTTAATAGTATTTTAACCTCAATAATATGCAGGTGTATACGTGTTATCAGAGATTGATTATTAAGTTGTGTAAGGCTTTTGTCCGATATCACTACTTGTTTATCGATTTTTAATAACCATTTCCTGAAAGATCCATATATACGCAAATTATTATTATTGTATGGTTTCAAAGATATGAAAAAAATTATCAAGCGCACTTGAAGATTAAGTCAAGTAGTGAAGTTTTCGTTCAGATAGCATACACAAAACCAAACTTATATGAAATCACTCTTTATTTCTGACTAAATTTCTTGCAAGGATAAAAATTGGTATACGACTTTAAGATAAGGCTTTTTGTTGTAAATAAACATAACAATGAAGAATAAACGACTGCTGCGATTTACTTTCTTTTGAATTTTGTGTTCAGTAGTAAAATCACGATTGTCTGGTAATTTTCATTCGATCTAAAAAAAAATAAAAAATGCCTTATGTTGTATTAACAGATGTATAGAGGGGAAGAATTATTGCTCTAACCGAACATGGAATACTCCAAACAGACGTAGCAGAGACAGTAGGCGTTACCCAGGGTGTTGTATCGGAAACATATGCAAGGTACTTGAAATTAGGAACACACAAGAATAGACCCAGACAAAGTCGTCAGAGAGTCACAACTGAACAACAAGACCGCCTTGTGCGCCATATTGCTAGAATAAATCCCAACATTTCTCATCCAGAGTTGCAAAGACAACTTCTGGCAGCTAACGTTTTAGTTGAAACCATAACAAAAAGGCTTCATGCTTGAGGATTTTACAGTAGGAGAGAGTTACGGATCCCACAATTATCTCGGCAAAATAAAATTGACCGGCTAAATTGATACCTTCAACATCAAAACTGGACAACTAAGAATTGGCAAAATGTTATTTTTTCGAACGAGACCAGAATTTGCCTAAGATCAGATAACCATCGAATTCGGGTTCTCATAGAGCTCCAAAAAGACGAGCGCGATTTCAGGCTGCCAAATCTGTACAAAGATATAAAGGTGGAACTATAATGTTCTGGGGAGGTATTATACTGGGAGCAAAAACTCCATTGTTACCACTTCAACATACTTTAACGGGTCGGAGACATGTTGACTTGGTGCTAGACCCAATCGTTAGTTTATGGAGAGCTGCAGTTGGTTATAATTTTAACTTCTTGTACATATACCAGCAGAGTGACTAGAGAATGTCTTAAAACGGAAGGTGTCATAGTTTTGAAATGGCCTGCATATTCACCAGATATAAACCCTATCGGACACTTGTGGGACTAGCTCAAAAACAATCCAGGAAATCTTGCACATTTTATTGATGCAGCATTAGCAGAATGGGAAAAAATACCCCAAGACAACGTTGATAATTTAATAAGAAGCATGCCAGCGTGAATAGAAGCTTGCATAAGGGCTAGAGGTAGCAACAAGGAATATAAAAATTATCAATTTTCTTTTTGTTTTTGCTTTTTAGCCATTAAAAATTTAAATCTTAATTTCGTTTCAGAAACCAAAAAATACCATTTTGTTTATTTTGGGAATTCAGCCCCGGATCTACAATTTTTTTGAACCAGGGTAAAAAATTGATAGTAGCGCCCCCTCTCTCCAGCGCAGCGTTTGAAATAAATTAATTTAAAAAGCTTACAAATATCTAGATATAGTTCATATCATATAAACTTTTAGTCACGTGACTAAGCTTGACCGGCACAGCGTTGTCCACTTTTATATATTTTCTTTTAATCAAAATATTTTAGGTAACAAAAATAAATTATTTTTAAATATGTAAACAGTTATTATTTACATCAACAGAACTCACCTTTTTAACAGCACTTAAGGGACATAAAGGGCCTTTACTTACTCTTAAAATGTTCTCTAGTATGCCGGAATATACATTAAACCATCTTTCAGCCTTAATTAATATGTCATTTGAAGATGGTGCTTTTCCAAATTGCCTTAAGTCGGCGATAATTATTCCTTTGCATAAAGGAGGTGATAAAGAGCAAGCTTCCAACTATCGTCCAATTGCACTCCTTCCCACGTTATCGAAGATCATGGAGAGACTGGTTAAAAAGAGGCTTGTATCATTTCTTCTAAAATACAAAATATTCACCCCCTTTCAATTTGGGTTCTTGAGTAACAAATGTACAAATGACGCTATGTTTTCGCTGTTTAATAATGTATACTCCAGTCTGAACAACCGTCTCGTTACAGCAACAATTTTCTGTGATTTCTCGAAAGCTTTCGATTGTGTTAATCATAACATCCTAACTAACAAATTGCAGTACTATGGTATCAGGGGAACGCCTCTTGAATGGTTTAAGTCCTACCTTAACAACAGAAACCAGCGTGTGAGGGTTGATAAGACTGTGTCTTCTTGCAAGCCAATAGAATGCGGAGTACCTCAGGGCTCAGTGCTAGGTCCTATTTTGTTTCTGTTGTTTATCAACGATATTGCTAGTCTGGACATCAGTGGTAAAATCTGTCTCTTCGCGGATGATACTTGTTTCACATGGAGCAGCCCGGACACCACGGCACTTCATAGAACCATTTCCAGTGACTTAATCAACATAAAAACATGGTGCGATTCTAATTATCTGTGTCTCAACGTCTCTAAAACTAAAGTCTTATCATATAAAAGTACGTTGCTACCTTTTCAACTTGATAATACCACCATTGACGTCGTTGATTCTGTGAAATTTTTAGGCCTTGTTGTGGACAACTATTTAAAATGGGATTTGCAATCGATGCTTTAGCTAAAAAATTAAGTTCTGCCTGTTTCGCACTTAGATCAGTTGCTAATGTGCTTAATTTGTCAACATCTAGGACAGTCTATTATGCCCTTTATGAGTCGCATCTCCGATACGCACTTCCATTCTGGGGTGCGTGTTGTGCGACTCAATTTGAGCGTATCTTCAAATTACAAAAGAGAGCTGTGCGATATTCACTGAGGCTAACCAGTTGTGCTCACTGCCGGGACTTGTTTAGAAGATATAAAATATTAACTCTTCCTTCCCTATTCATACTCGAATCCGTCTGCCTAGTTCGCAAGCACGTATCGAGTATTTCTCTAGAGCCAGTTCATGGCTATCCAATTAGGAACGCAGAGCATAACATGTATCTGCCAACCCCTCACTCTGAGTTAGTAAAGAGTTCCCAATTGTACAATGCAAAAAAAAATGCACTATCATCTGCCATCTGAAATTAATTCCATTTCATCCTTTCCTGCATTTCGCAGAGCCTTGAGATCATACTTACTGGAGAAAGCCTTTTACGCGGTTAACGATTTTTTTATTAATATCTAGGGTTCTAAATTTAACACACATTCACTAAATTTAAGAAATGATTTTGTTTTCTATCCATTTAAATTTAGTATTGACATTATATACAGTTGTTTATTTACATGTATGTTTATATTTTATTTATATTTAATTAAATAAATTTTTGACAATGTACAATTTCTATAATTGTATAAAGTATTGTTTTAGTTTTGTATGTTTGCTGTTAGTTTTATATGTTTTTCTATTGTTAAGTGAAGTTTTGTATGTTTTTTATATTCTTTTTTTTTAAGCTTTGTCAACAAAATTGTAAAAATTGTTTTTATGACAATAAAGCAATTTCTTTCTTACTGCTGCTTTTCGATAATAAATTTTGCGATGAGTACTATCTTGTACACTTCGTACTAAAATAGGTTCTAAAAAGAACAATGTTCGACTGCAAGGTCTGCTAGTAAACATTTTCGAGCTTAAAGTATCAAAACACTATTTATTTAAACCAAAAACTCGTAATACAAAACTAAAGTGTTAAAACGAATGACAATGTTAGGAAATAAATAAATAAATGCGGCAACTTGACATTTTTTTACAGCAGAGCTACCACCTGAATCCTCAGCGCGAAATTTAAATTTCAGTTAGTCAGCACGGCGTCGAATATGTCCATGGTTGGCAACAATGAATTTAAAAATCGCGCTCTCGATTACGTAGGGGAAAACCGCTATGAAGTGGACATATTATTAAAAGGAGTTATATTAATTATTAATCGATAATGAAATGAATTAAAAACTACATAGGTTGAAAGCTTCATCAATATGCTTTTAAAATATATTACTAAATTTATTTTGGAAATATTGTAATTGGGAGTAATATCTAAGTTTGAAAAAAGTTGCTTTTGTCCATTTCAAAACATCGATGTATTGGAATGGACAGTGGTGGTTATGAAAAGGACATTTATGTTAAAAGACATTAATTGCTTCAAAAATAACTTTAATTTAAACAAACTATATCTTAAGAGCAGTATTACAATAAAAATTTCGAATACCCTGAATACCACATGTTTCATGTGCCCAAGAAGAACATAAGAAACACTTTAACCAGTCTGTCTTGCTACATTGATACGCTTCCTTGCAACAGACACAATTATCTTGATTTATTACGTTATTGTTTTCGTTAGGTTGAGTGTTGGGTTCTCTGTTTTCTCTTGGTATAAATTGGCATAGAGGAACTTTCTTACTTGACTGCTCACTTTCATTAAGTTTCTTCCGGTGGAAGTAATTCACATCCAAAAATCCTTCTTCCGTCATTCAACCACTTGGATTGGAAATTTCTTTTGCGACACTAGGTCCTTCTTTCAGCATAATTTCCTTAAAGTGCACTCTGGGAAATATAAAAACGGGAGGAATTGTTCCTCCAGAGGCATTAATAAATCCAAGCATCGTAACTAAATTACCTCTTTCGACTGAAGTCACTTGCCCGACCTGTTTTGAACCTCTAGTTGCTAAAACTTTTGAAGGATTTGTAACCGTGAGACAGGCGGTTTCGTCTAAATTCCAAATCATATGGGGCTTAAATTTATGTTTTTCCAGAGCTCGCTCCAAATTGCTATAAAAATTACTGACATTCGTTGGATTGAATGAAGTCGCTCTAGAGAGAGAAGTGTTTTCTGGGTTTTCTTAAATTTAATGTTGAATTTCTTTTCATAAAACCAAGTAGCCAGTCTTTTGATGTCATCTTCTTTTCTTTCCAAGGTTTCGATAAAATTCCCTGAGCCTTTGCATACTGGTAGGCAAGTTCCTTGACTTGCACGGTTGTGAGACCGTAACACATCTTTGATGATGTTTTCAGATAATCAACCAATAATTTTTCCTGTTCAAGGGAGAAAATACGTTTATTAACTATGTTAGGTCGATGACGATAATCTTCCTTCTGAGTTCTAGCTCTTTTACAAATTGAAGCTAAGTAAGGTTTGGAAAGTTATGGGCTGCCGCTACCGACCGGATAGATTGATTTTTATCAAAAACTTCTCTTACGGCGGTTTCGATTACATGACTGGCTGGTCGTAACCTTTTCTTTCGTGTAGAAATATTGATCTGAAAAATAAACAATTAATTTTAATGAAAAGTTTAAAAATTATCTACTATTCCTTAACAAACTTGTCACAAAGCCTTGAAAAGGACATCGTGTATTGAAACGGACACGTCCATTTCAATACGGCGTCTTGTGTCCATTTCAAGACAACACCCACTTAACCACTAAATGACAATATAAAGTGTAAATAGAGAAATATTTTATACGGTCTAAATCTTCATTTGTGTACTATAATAACTTAGTTTTAAACTTATTAATCTGAATTTGACAAAATTTCAACAGCTTACCTGTGACATAGTTCGATATTTTCACAAAGAAAATTAGTTTTTTAACACCTAATATTAAAATTCTTGCCGCCGAGACACGATCAGCCAGTTCAGCCCGCAATTTTGGTGGTAATGGAAGCGGCGCGCGGGGTTGCCAAATGTAACCGTAAAAGTTTCGGCTATTCAATCAAATAGGACTTAAGAATAGATAATAAGATAAATAAGATATATGTCCGTTTCAACACCCGTCCGTTTCATAGCGGTTTTCCCCTAACTAAAAGTTTAATTGATATGAAATATAGGTAGGTATTTTTCGTAAACGGGACAGTTTAGACTAACTAGACGTTTTAAAATTAAATGAGTACTTGATAGAAGAACGTAAGGTGCATACTAGGCGCTTTGTGGAGCAATTTTCTTGATTTCAACAAAATTATATTATGATTTTGGCGCCCCCTGACACGGCGCCCGGGGCAGGCGCCCCGGTTTGTCCCCCCTTAAATCCGGAGCTGTGGGAACTGATTATCTTTTTTATTGCTATATGGATTATTTTTCATTAAAAGTCATTGGTAGGGACTGGTGAAACATCTAGACCCTTAAATGTTTGAATTAAAGAACACAAACATTATTTAAGAATTGGCGATTTATACAAACCTAAGAAGCTGAATTAAGTTAGCATGGAATACTTGTGGAAGAAACTCAATCATATTCAAATCTAGAATGCCGCTCTGTCTGAAGAAGAAAACATTCGACCAATGTGTAATACCAGTCATGACCTATGTATGCGATACCTGGACACTTAAAACAAACATAATAAAGAAACTGCAGATCGCACAACGCTGAGTGGAACGAAATATGCTGAGAATAACCAAGAGAGACCGTACAAAAGACCCAGGTAATTGATGTCGTCCACAGAGTCAAATCTCTCAAATGGTAATGGACAGGACACCTAGCAAGAAGAACGGACAACAGATGGACCAGAAAAGTTACAGCATGGAACCCACGAGGAATGAAGAGACCTAAAAGAAGACCGATCCTGAGATGGGACCATGATATTAGGAAATTAGCAGGGATAACTTAGGACCGCATAGCCAACAATAAACAACAATGGGTCCAACTACAAAGAGAGTATATAAGTCTGTGAGGGAGGATGATGATGAAACAAATCTAAGATTTGTCAGAATTCATGGGATACAGTTCGCAGTGGTAAAATACCAATAGGACATTTTTAAAGACATATATTTTTGTAATTTACTGTAGAAGATAGATCTTCTAGCAATAGTACAAGTTGTTACAGTAAAACTGTAGTTTAACCTTTTACATTTTTTATGTTCATTTATATATCCAATTTATTATTATTATAATACATAAAGCACACTTAAATTAGTAAAATAAAATATATATATACAGAAAAATCTGATGCAACTGGTGAAGTAACTAAGTTATTTCAAACCCCCAGATGTAACTGAATGGTAACTAGTGTGTTAAACTAACAAAACAGTAATATAAGGTAGTAGATATCTCTATATAAATTAATCTTTACCTATATCTCATTATACTTAATTATAAATGTAAGCTTAGTTTATGCAGGGCTAATCTTAAACAAGTTTAAATATTTTTTGGTATAGTATTTTCGCCTATGAGGTTACTTTCGCGAAAAAAAATTGAAAATTTGGAGTTTTTCGAAAAAAAATCTATTTTTTTTTAGTTTTTAGTTAAAAATCATAATTTCTTGATAATACGGCAACATGGGTAGTAGATTAAATTTACAAGAAAGAAAACCCAGAAATGATCCAGTGGTTCTCAAAATTTAAGCAAAAATTCATTTTTTTTAAATTTTTGAATTAAAATACCTCAGTTATTTTGGAGTTATTTGCAAAACGGTAAAGAGAAAATATGTTCCTTTTATCGAGATCTACCAGCCCTGAAAATATGTGCACTTATTTAAGACTCGCCCTGTATATGCAAATTTTGGACATATTGGAGATGAAAACACATTTAGCGGTTATTCAGATTTTTTCTTAGTACTATTATCATTTTTCCTGAATAATTTTGATCCTAACTGAACAATAAACTTAAAGGAATAATATAAAACAAGAACTATAGCTAGGAAAATTGCCGAAATGAACGCGAAAATATCTAACATTAAATATTTCCACCATGGAAGGTCTACAGCTGTACTGCGAAGATGTTTGGCTCCCTTGTGTCTTATTACATATTCGATCCACCAGATGGCTTTCTCGAGTCCATCCTGGGGTTGGTCTTTCATTAATTCATCAAGTTTCTTAGCATTCTCAGCATAACTGTAAAAATGAAAAATATAAATGCATAAGCAATATCCATCATGTGACTTTTTTTATTTGCTTCATTTTAAGGATTTTTTTTAAAGTTTCAAATATTTTTTTCTGTAAAATAAAATGGGGAAAACTTATTCATCATTTTCAAAATTTACATGGAATGTCCTACCATTGCAACAAACTGTATATAATTTTTATGATATAACGTGAATGATACCGTATGATCGAGAAAAAACGGCGTCAAAGGCGGCTGGGGAATGACTATCGATGCTATTTTTGACGAGGTCGAACTCTGCTCAAAGTTAATTAACTTTATTTGGATTTTTTTAGTTAATTAAAATTCTTCTTCTTTTCACTTTAAAGATCTTCAAAAAAATTAAATTTTAATTAAAATGAATACTAAATGTAGAAAATCTAGAAGACAATAGTAAGTTCCCGGATACAGAAATCTATATCCAAAAAAAAATTTTTTCTGATAATTTGAACTATACCAGTTTTAATTAATAAAAAATCTATATTAGGTAAATCCAGTAAATCGTAATTAATACTAAATGCGTCTTTAAAAGTAAAGAAGAGAAAAATCAAAAAGGCTCTAACCTAACAATCGCCCGTCCCAGTTCCAGGCATTTCGATAACTCTTAGAGTTAACAAAAATCAGATTATTCTACTGTTAAAATGTATGGATTATCCTTTGTAATTGTCTAATACAGACTAGACCCTTCAGATTTAGTAAAACTGTAGCTGTAAACCAGTTATGTGTATTCATTACTATACATGGAAGAAGTATCGTGTTTATCAACAAGGTTAATTGTAGGCCTTTAAATTTTGCTTAATATGGTCATATTTTGTAATATTCAACTCATAATTGTTGATACTTCTCATGGATGATGTTCAATTTTATACATGTATAAAATATAAACACACTAACTTGAAGTACTAGAAACGGTAAGGTGGGATATTTTTACGAATCTGTATTATTACTTTTTTACTTATAGAATATCTACAATTGTGTATAACCTCTAAGAAACAAATTAAATGAACAAAACTATGTCCAAGAAATAGTCTATTGTATAGAGGATTTAAGAAAAACCTTAAAATGTTTGTACAATTTGTTTTTGAATTTCTTCTAGGTTTCTGCATCTTCGGTCAGTGAAAGTAGAAATATCATCAGCAGTTTTTTCAGTCCATAAGATTCAACATTTAAAAATACAGGGATACTTTAATCATTAATTAATCTTAATTATTCTTTTTTTTGAGATATAGGCACTATAGGCAGCAAAATATTAGCCTTATAATCCCTGAAGCTGTGGCCAATAAATTAAATGATAAATAATTGTAAATTGTTTATACATATATAAATCACTTGTTTTAAAAATAAAAATTGGCATTTTAATTTTTTATTGTATTTATTTATTAAATGATAAAATTATAATATTTATATACTACATATGATCTAACACTGTAAGTCTTAGTTTCTTTGGTTTGGTTTTTACTGTTTGCCGAGTATTATGGGTATAGTTCATTAAATTAATAGATTCTTTTCTTATGATTGACATATGCATATTAATTGTTTTCTTAAGTTATGTTACAATGAAACTCACTTTATAAACATTATAATATAGGTATTTATTTTCTTTCGAATGGTATTACAAAATATTTTTTACTGTGAACCCTACTAATTAATATACTATGCCTGGTTCAAGAGTCTAAATTTGTACTTATTACATTATCATTTAATTTAATAACAAACCTAAAATATTTGTTTGCGACTTACTAAAAAAAAACAATTATGATTTTCGAAAGTGATTAATACAGCTTTTTGTAAAATTATACATTACTTCTTGATGTATGTATTATATTAATTCATTTATTTACTTAAATTGTTCCAATGTGTATATTATTTCCTGCAATCTACCAGTAGTTACGTTAAAAGTTAAGTATATAAATAAATGACTTAGGAGCCTAAAATTATTGATATTAAATAACGTAATATATAAGTAAATAAAACTGACAATACACCAATAAAATATTTTAGCAATAACCATTAATTCCTGCATGGAACTTTGCTTGAATACAGCATTACCAATTTTGTTTTCATTAAATTCTCTAGGCAATAGATTATTTCTTGGACACAGTTTTGTTCATTTAATTAATATGCTTCTTGGAAAACAGAAACTTAGGCATACACAGAAACAGATACTCTATAAGTAAAGAAGTAATAATACAGGGATTCGTAAAAATAACAATCTCACCTTATTGCTTCTAGTACTTCAATTTGGTTTGTTTATATTTTATATATGTATAAATTGAACATCATCCACCAGAAGTATCAACAATTATGAGTTGAATATTGCAAAATATGACCATATTAGGCAAAATTTAAAAGCCTACAATTAATTTTGTCGATAAACACGATACTTCTTCCATCAACTAACGGATTATTTACTGGTATTAAACACACATTTTTATTTACAGCTATAATCAATGCAATATTAGTAAATCTGAACGGTCTAGTGTGTATGAAACAATAATAAAAGGCTAATCCGTACATTTTAACAATACAACAATAAAAAATGTTGTCGAAATGTCTCGGTCGGAGGCTTGTCGGACGACGAGATTTAGTTTGGTTAGAGTCTTACTGGTCTTGCTCTTCTTTATTTTTAAAGGCGTTTACTGCATTAAGGATGATTTAATATCGATTTTTTATTGAGTAGAACTGGTGCAGATCGAAACATTTGAAAAAACAATTTTTTGGAAATAGATATGTGTATCTGGAAACTTTCTATTCTTTTCTGGTTTTTCTATATAAGGTATTAATTTTTGACAAATTTTATGTCAGTTCTCAGTAACTGACGTCTAGAGTTCTATCTCGTCAAAAATAGCATCGATAGTCATTCCCCAGCCGCCTTTGACGCCGTTTTTTCTCGATCATACGGTATATTTGGATTATTTACTGTCCAACTCAGTTTAGAAAAAAGAGAACTAGAAGTGTAGATTTTCAAGCAAGAAATAGCTATTATATTATATGTAACAAGTTGCAAAATGAATGTGTTTAAGCACGGGACGCAAAATTGGCCGAGGCGAAAGCCGAGCTGGACAATGCGTCGAGTCACAACCCAACTAATTTCGTACAAGATTTTTTGTGAAAGCGGATAATTTGATATTTTCGTGCTATTATTATTATTTATTTTTAAACATGTTTTAAAATGTTCTGGTAATCGGTTTCTAAGGCATTGTTTATGCATTGTTTAATGACAAGGTTCTGTCAGGTTCCAACGTCGCCGTTAAAAGCAGTTCACGTAGAAGCAGGAGCTACCAGCATTGCTAGTACAAGAAATTTACATACTTATTCCGACTCCTACAACTTGCATTTCTCTTATGGTGCGTCCAGACCTGAGGAGTCGAGTGCGAGACGAGAGCAAGACATTTTCTATCCATTTTTTGACACAAGCCTGCCGCGAGACAAGCGAGTTGGATCATAGCACAGAATATCTAGCTACGCAACAGAAAAATACTCGAAATGAAAGAGCTAAAATTGCACAAATAGAATACTAGATGGCGCGACAATATCATAATCAGAATATAATTAGAAATTTTGAACTTTCGGTTTTGGATCGACGGCTCGTCGACGGCCTTATAGCTCGGCTAAATATGCACAGTTGCCAGATTCAAAAGACGTGAATTGGCATCCCATTCTTTTATTGTGTATAATGCAGTATGTGTTTCTTTTCTATTCTTCTTTTCTTGTCAAATACACTTATATTAATTATTCCTTTGGCTATTAAAATAGTTTTAAGTATATTATTACAAAACATATACATTTTTAATATACACTATACCTTATAATGTTAACTAAGAAAATACCTTTTAATTACCTTTTAAAATTAATAATATACAGGGCGATTGATAGTGATATTTATTAATGCTGGAACGTTAGTAATGAAATATAAGTTTAATAATAATGGAAATAATTTTTTAAAATGCAGTACAAAAAATGTTAACTGATTAAAAAATACTATAATAACAAATTTCTTCCGTTTGCCACGTTATTTATATCGACCTAGGTAGATTTTAAAAAGTGACACAGGTACAATTAATAACATATTAGTTCGGCATAAAAGTTGCTGTCACGACATCGAACAATAAATTAAAATTCGTAAAATAAATTAAAATTATTAATTAAACAAATCTTTATAAAGAAACGCAAGTATACCAAATTTGGGCCCAATCGAACTCCAGGAAATGATATCATAATAGTGTACTATATTATGGTACCACTCGATATACTTTAAGGTACCATAATATTGCAATGTCACCGAAGATCCGTAGTATACCAAATTTAAGAACAATCGAACGCCATGAAATGGTATCGTAATATGGTACTATATTAAGGTACCACTTTATATACATCATAGTTCAATCATATTACAATATAACCGAAGATACGTAGTATACCAAGTATGAGCCCAATCGAACGCCAGGAAATGGTATCGTAATATGGTACTATATTAAGGTACCACTTTATATGCATCATAGTACCATCATATTACAATGTCACCGAAAATGCGTAGTGTCCCAAGTTTAAGCCCAATCGAACGCCATGTACGTAATATAGTACTATATTATGGTACCAGTTGATATGCTTCATGGTACCATAATAATGCAATGTCATCAGAAATACGCAAGTATATATCAAATATGAGCTCAATCGAACGCCAGGAAATGGTATTGAAATATGGTACTATATTAAGGTACCACTTTATATGCATTATAGTACCATCATATTACAATGTAAACCGAAGATACGTAGTATAACAAGTTTAAGTCCAATCGAACGCCAGGAAATGGTATCGTAATATGGTACTATATTATGGTACCTCTTATTATGCTCCATGGTACCATAATATTACAATATCACCGAAGATAAGTAGTATCCCAAATTTAAGCCCAATCGAACGCTATGTACATAATATGGTACTATATTATGGTACCAGATGATATGCATCATAGTACCATCATATTACAATGTCACCGAAAATACGTAGTATACCAAGTTTAAGCCCTATTGCCGCCATGTACCTAATATTGCTATGTCATCAAATATGGTACTATAGAAGGTACCACTTTATATGCTCTATGGTACCATGGTATTACAATGTCACTGAAGATATAGTATACCAAGTTTAAGCCCAATCGAACGCCATGTATCGTAATATAGTACTATATTATGGTATCACTTGATATGCTTCTGAAAAAACGGCGTCCAGTTGGCTGGAAAAGAACGATCGCTGACATTTCCCATATAAATTTACATATAAAATGACAGTGATATTCATTTCATAGCTATCGCTAACGCCGTTTTTTTCCCGATTATACAATATGAACTTGGTATGAACACAATCGAACGTCAGGAAGTGGTATCATAATAGTAGAACAATACTTATTATATTGTCGCCGAATTACAATGAAAATTCAGGATTCAATTATACAATCAAACGTCAGGAAGTGATTGTAATTTAGCTCATAAGATCTATTTTAATATGTTTAAAATGATGTAGCAAATTTGAAGGTAGGCTTTATCAGGAAGTATTACGATATGAATTACAATAATGGCAACACTGCACAAAAAATCTTTTAAATTTTGTTTGTAGAAAACTGTTTTCTTTTAAATTTATTGCCCTCTATTATGTAGTAGCGAAACTACCACATCAAAATATCTGATTTGGAGACAGACTTTTAAAGCCTGTCTCCTTTTGCTACCTACAGTTTTATACATGTAACGAGGCTTCTGTTGCGTAGCTAGATATTCTGTGATCATAGTGAAAGGTGACCGGTTTGTGTAAACATGTCCGATGAAAAGCTGTAGCAAATAATAACGCATAAGTAATAAATTTATGTACCTTTAACATGATATTTGGTTCGTCCTATTTCATTCATCGTCATTTTTTCCCCTTTTACCCTTCATTTGTTTCGAGACACGACGCGACGTCTTTTACAAAATCCGTTTTTTAGAACAAAATGTTAAATAGAAAAGTTATAGGAAAGGTTAGGAAGCACATTTGAAAATTACTGGAGAGTATACAGGATACTTCAAAAAGTGTTACGGATATACCAGGTGCGTCTCAAAAGTGGCTCACCCCCTATAACTTTTTTATTTTTTCAGATAAAAAAAAACGAGATTTGGTATGCTAGTATATGACATAAATTAGGATTGATTGACATATTCAATTGTTTTCGGCCACTTCCGGTTTCACGAAATGACTACAACATGTGATTTTTAAATGGGACCCTCGGTATTTTCTTACTTTATTCTAGAAAAAATAACACTCTGAATCTCTCACACGCGGTATGTTTTAATGCGAATACCCTATTTTTTTATTTTATTATTAGATTCTACGTGCAATTCGGTTTTGCATATCATATTGTATACATATCTAAAATAATCGATTTTGTAATAATTCAATTTGTTTAAAGAAATATTAGATTTCGGAACGGTAAAAAGTGTCAGTGACGCAAAATTTGTAAATTCTATTAATAGAATTTACAAATTCTATTTTAAATAGTCGAAATTCATAAATATATGTTGAACACACTGTAGCATCTAAATAGAATTTACAAATTCTATTTTAAATAGTCGAAATTCATAAATATATGTTGAACACACTGTAGCATCTAACTCAAATATCTTTACCTATATCTCTTTCTTCGTCCCTATAAAACTATCAAATTAAACTAACTTAAATAAAACTATTAAATTAAATTAACTAACAAATTTTAGCAATCCAACTTCAGAAACAATAGCATTAATGACAATTTTTTACGACTCTGAAATCTAACATTTTTTGTTTAAGCAAATTGAAATATTACAAAAACTATTAGTTTTAGGTATATAACATTATACCTCGCATTATACATAAAAAAGTTATAAAATTTTACGCAGAATCTAAAAATAAATAAAATAATGTATTACATTTAGAAAACTATGTTATATCCGTAACACTATTTTGAACCACCCTCTATACTCTATAATAATTTTAAAATGTGTATCTTAACCTTCTCTACAGTTTTTCTATTTTTTTAATAATTCTAAAACACTTTTTAATAATTCTCAAAACAAATAAAATAATGAACTTTATCGTTGGCTCACCCTGTATATTTAATTTACTAGGTAACAAGATTCAATAATAATTAATGTTCCTATAATAACCTCCTTCCTGTATGTTGCCAGTAGAGCAATAATTTTTTACATTTTTCCCAAGTTTTATTCACATACTCGTTCACATATCTTAACCATCACGCATCGTGTTTTTTTAATATTCTTTAACTTTTGGATTGCATAATATTGGTTTTTCTTTATATAAATCGATTAATTTCAGCTGATCTTCTTGGCTGCGAGTTTTCTTTGATCTCTCTCTCTCTCTCTCTCGGCCGTTGAAAAACCGACAGGGAACGGATAGCAACGAGGCTCCGTGGGTTGTCTCGCGAGACGGTCGCGAGGCTCTTGCGAGACCCCTCCATCCTTTGAAAAATACCGCAAATTTGAAATGTCTCGCGCTCGTCTCGCACTCGACTCCTCAGGTCTGCACGCACCATTAGAGACGAAAAGTTGGATGCCGCTTGTATTCACTTTAATAATTTAAGTAATTTTACCTTTAAGATTTATAATAAATAAATATTTTCATTGTTTCTAACGTTTCATTTTTTTACTTTTAGGCACTAGTGCATAAACAAGTGTCACTTTTAGATACTAATGTCTAAAAGAATGTCATTTCGAATCTCAAATAAATATCAAAAATGTCAATTGCGAAAAGCTTTCACAAAAAAATATTTAAATGTAATTTCAAAGTAATTTCTTCAAAATCATAACGTCAATTCGACAAAAAAAACCTATACATTACCTAGGATTATTAATTATTTCTAATATATAACTTCTTAATTTTTCGGCGGTTAAATCTTCCAGTTCAATCATTTTGCCCATACCATACTGTACGCAAGTGTCTACATTTGTAGTCTGATCAGAATGAAACGGAATACCGATAATAGGTTTGTGAGCCGCTATCGTTTCTTCAGTCGACTGTAATCCACCTTGCGTTATGAATAGTTTAACATTAGGATGATCTGAAATCAATACATACAGGGTAATTCAAATTGGAACTCTACGATTGTAAACTCAAGAACTATAGAAGATGCGAGGATGATTAAGTTATAAGCCATATAGATACCAATTAAATTTTTAGTTACGCAATCGAGGGCGCGAGTTTTAAATTCATTGTTGCCAACCATGGACATTTTCGAGGCCGGGATGACTAACTGGAATTTAAATTTCCCGCTGGGAATTCAGGTGGTAGCTCTGCTGTAAAAAATGTCATGTTGCTACATTTATCTATTTATTTTTCCTGACATTGTCATTCTTTTTGGCACTTTAATTCTGTATTATTTGTATTACGAGTTTTTTGTTTTAAAGAATTGTGTTGTGATATTTTGAGCTTAAAAATTTGTACTTGCAGACCTTCCTGGCGAACATTGTTATTTTTAGAATCTCTTTCAGTGCAAGTGTACAAGATTAAAAAAAATATCGTTATTTCAGGATATTTAAATCGTTTTTTGTAAGTGCTTTTTATATCCTGTGTAGTTACTTTGTTACTCCCATTTTTTTTATACATTTTACACTTTGCAATTATTTTTTACTACCAGAATCGCGGTTTTTAATGCTGTCAAGAAGTTTTATTTAACTGTCATACCTAATACATTTATCTGCGGAATCCACTTGCTGAGAAACACATTATCAGGTTTCTGATCCATGGTATTATTTTCCCATTTCCATAATACATTATATGGCAAATTACGAAAAACGCTAGTAAATAACTCAACAGTTTTTCTAGGTAAGAATGTACCTTTTACGGTCGATCCCAAACTGAAATAAACGACTCCATTTTTCGAGTCGTCTAAGAATTTTTTCAATTCCTTAAATATGAAAAATGCAATTTACCATTATCCCATTAAAATTATGTATGGTAACTTGCCCAATTACCGTCACTGTCTTAATCATCGTCATATTTCGATATTTTTAAAACAATTAAGAAGCTCAAGGAAAAATTTCATAATAAATTATGTTTGATATATCTGGAAACGCCGCAATACACCTTTTTTTAAATGGTGCACTTCATTCACGTGGAGTAATGTCTATTTTGGTTGGAAGTTAGACACTGACGAGAAGCCACACATTCTAATAAGCTAAGTAGAGTAACAGTCTTTTTGTTTGACAATAATGTAATTTAGTATACTAAGATTCAAATATAATTAATTATATTTGGGGATTTTTTTTTTAGGGATCTCTACTATCAGCTACCAGAAATCAACCAAAGAATTAAATTAAGCATGGAATGCTTATGGAATTTCAATATGACATTTCATCAGTCATGACATGACCTATATATACCAAACCTGGACAGTCAAAACGGATATTATAAGGAAACTGCAGGTCGCACAATGCTCAATGGAACGAAATATGCTGTGAATAACCAAGAAAGACCGTAAAAGAATAGAGTGGATACGACAACAAAAAACAGGTGATAGATGTCATCCATAGAATCAAATCCCACAAGTGGCAATTGGCAGGACACCTGGCAAGAAGGACGGACAACAGATGGACCACAAAAATTACAGACCTATTTATTTTAGATTTTTTTATGCTGTATGGTTTACAACAAGGTTTACCAAACAACCTATATTAAGAGAGGCACTCGAAAAGGCGGTACAGGAGAAGTTTAATTAAGTCGACCGGTCGTTCTGTGAGAATAGCTAGAAATTCAGTTTTAAGAAGATGCATTTATGTATTCAAAACAATAGCGGATTTTTTGAACATTTTCTAAAATAATTTAAAGTGTATGTAGTGATATTATTTTTTTAAGTTTTAGTTTGTGTAATGTAAATTTGAAAGAGCCCTTTAATAATATATTTTGTCTTTTTATAAGTTATAAATCATAAAATAAGAACACCATGCCTACTAAGTGAAATTAGTCAAGAAAGATAAAAATTGGCTATAACTCAACAATTTTTGGAAGACGACTAAACTTGTTTCCATGACTAACTAAGTGAAATTATTCAAGAAAGATAAGAATTGGCTATAACTCAGATATTTTATGAAAGAAAAAACATATTATAGCTTATATCGCTGAAAAGCTTAAAAAAATAAATTAGAAATTTATTTTTTATTATTATTGAAATTAAAAAAAATGTGCTGTAGTGTCAGATTTAATTTCCTTGTATGCTCTATATACCGGGTGTTGCATCGTCGAGCGGGACATAGGAAATCCCATGTAAATTTTAGTGGGGTCAATTATTGGCTTCCCTAATTATTTTAGAGAATAATTCTATTTAGGTTTATTGAAGAGCACTAAAACCCACATTCAAAAGAATAACTTTAGATATTTTTGATTAGCCCGTTTACGAGTTATCGCCGATTTCTTTTTAAATATTTCTCCTTTCTTATGGCCCTGGATTTACTTATGAGCACCAGTCAAGGTAAAAGATAACTGTCAAATGAAGTTGTCATTTCAGAAATTTATCTATTATTATTATTATTCAAAACGCATACCTACATCGAAAATATTAGCCATGAATTACACTACCGATGAAAAGTATTGATGATTTAAATGGTATTATCAAGGAAATAGTTATCAAAACGTGTCGGACATGTTTGCTGCTCTGTATCCGAATAGACCGATACCTGGAAAATCTACAATCGCAAGGAATATCCAGAGATTTGAGACCAAAGGTACCCTAATAAATAACTGCAGATGTAAAGCAAGGCAGGACCAAAGAGAAGATGCAAGAAATGATACCGACTTGGTAGTTTTATTGTGCGTGGAAGAGAACGATGGAAATATCAGCACAAAGAAACTTGAGGATGAAATAGGAATAATCACACTACAGCGTTTCGAATTACGACACACAATTTTAGTCGAAACGACATAAATACTATTCCATCAAGTATGAAAAGCACCAAGAGCTACGAGATGGGGAAGAAATACGGCGGCAGGCGTTTTGTTTTGATATGATGGAAAGAGCAAACACGGGAATTTTTAAAACATATGTTTCACTGACGAATGAACGTTTACCTTAAGTAATGAACCCAATGTTCAAAATTATCGATATTGGAACAAAGAAAGCCAACACAGGTTTGTCGAAACAAGGACGCAATATCCACAGAAAGTAAATGTTTGGGCAGGGATATTCGGACACAATATTATCGGGCCATTATTTCTTACGCGAAATTTAAATGCAGAATATAGGAACTACTCGAAAATCATATTTTACCTGCTTTACATGATGCCGCTAGGGTAAATCAGCAAGTTTGGTACCAAATGGATGGCCGGATAGTACCCCGGCTGTTCGGGAATATTTAGACAATAGTTTTAACGGAAACGTTATTGGCCTAAATCATACAGCAAATTGGCCAGCAAGGTCTCCTGATATTTCGCCAAATGATTTCTTTCTCTGGGGCCATTTAAAAAACAGGATATACAAGGATAAAAAATACCCAAATCTAGACGAGTTAAAAAATGCTATTTCTGCCGAAGGCAATATAATTTCAGTTTACCAACTAGCGAATGTAAGAAGAGAATTTTATGATCGCCTGGGTTATTGTCTAGCAGTCGATGGAGAAATATTTGAACATCTTCTTAAATCCTAAAGTTCTAACAATTTAATAGTACCTAAATTAATAAGTTATTGAATATTGGAATAATACTATAATTAACCTTGTAATTGATTACTTTATTTTACTTTAATTCATATTAATTTGTATTTATAAATACATCTTTAAGATTTCCTATGTAGGAATGAGTTTTCAATAATAATAAAGCACTAAATAGGTAAATTTCTGAAATGACAACTTCATTTGACAGTTATTTTTTACCTTGACTGGTGCTCATAAGTAAATACAGGGCCATAAGAAAGGAGAACTATTTAAAAAGAAATCGGCGATAACTCGTAAACGAGCTAATCAAAAATATCTAAAGTTATTCTTTTGAATGTGGGTTTTAGTGCTCTTCAATAAACCTAAATAGAAATATTCTCTAAAATAATTAGGGAAGCCAATAATTGACCCCATTAAAATTTACATGGGATTTCCTATGTCCCGTCCAACGATGCAACACCCGGTATATCTACCAATAATTCGGATTTTGGCTAACTGAACGGAGATATTCTCTTAATGTGACGATAATTGGGACATTTACCATACCACTTACAGTTCCTAATTCCTGTCGTTCCTTGGGAAATTTAATACCACCTAGTTCAATCGTTGCAGGTGTTAACGACATCAATCTATGAAGGATGGAATTCCTGTTTAGCAACAACACACTAATTTCTTTCTCAATATTGCCGATATAAGGCAGCTCCTTGCTGAGGAATGCTTTAATAGAAGCATCCTCTCTAGGCAAAATAAGTAGGTGATAATGTATCCTGACGTAAATAGAGTAAAGTACTGTCAAAATCCGATCTTTCAAGCTCATACCCCTTGGTAACGGAAGGTTCATATCAGGTGATATTATTGGATGCCATGGATTTCCCACTGTATCCATAGAACTCAAAGGAGCTCCCAAAGATGTCACTCCAATCAGTGGTGCCTTGAAGAACGGAGCAAACGCACCCATCGTCGGGTATAACCACTCAACTATAACCGCATCAAAGTTAGTATTGCTGTTTATAAGCCTCCTGGTTTCGTTGTGTTGCAAAACCGCCGCGTAGAATCTGGTCCACACTTTAGTAATATAATAATCTTTTATAAAAGCTGTATGGAACTCAGGTTTTTTTGTATAATACTTAAAATCTTCCTGATTGGTATTTTTCAGGAGGTTGTAGAAGTCACTCAAATCGTATTCATGTAGGTTATTGAGGGTAGAAATGTTTAGTGGGTTAGGTGTTAAAGCATGCACCTCATGTCCTTTTTCTGCTAAGGCTCTCCATATCGCTTGAAACGGTTTTTGATGGCTTGGTGCGGGCATACAAGCGATAAATAGTATTTTTGATGATTGTACATTAATACAACAGTACACTAGTAGTACAAACACTTTAAACACAGCCTTCATGTTAAATAAACTTTATTAGTACTGGCATTTTTAATAATTCTATTCACTTATTACTTATAATATGTTTTCTTCATTTCAAGTGTATCAACAGTTTCGATAAGATTAAGTTATCTAAATGAAATACATATATATGATTAATTTATTTATATAATGATATATCTAATTATATTAAAAATAATGTTTTTGTTTTCTTGGGTATGAGGTTTTTTTAATTAAATTCTGCTATATATTTGTTCCGCCCAAATATTAATTAATTACATTTTTAATTGTGCTAGTTACTAAATTATTCTAAATAAAGTTGGATTTGAATCAGAAATCAATATAATAATAAGTTTTGAATGTGAACGCCTCTTTTGTTATAAATAAGCATTCGACAAAAATGAAATAACATTTATAAGGTTTTACTTTTTACCACACTGTCTAATACAAAACATACACATACACAATTCAGTTTTTTTCCATAGCAACTGTTAAAATTGCCTTATATCTGTCAAAAATAGTAGATAAAATAGTACTTTAACCGCAAGGGTAGATTAAATGATACTTTAACAGCAATGATAGGTTAAAAACTTTACTTCTTCTCGCACGTATTTTAATTGCTTCCATTTTTAAAAATATTTGTATTCCTTTTCATAAGTTATTCGGGATTTAAATGGATATGGCGTTTGTCGCCTGAATATCTGTTGGTAATTTATTTATTTCGTTTTGAGCCATTTCTGGCTCCAATTCAATCAGCAATCGACACGAAAGAGAATTAAAAAATATTGACTCAAAACTGACAACTAAAGAGCCAGTTTATTTATTTGTCAAATGACATAGAAACCAACGCCAACCCAGCACAATATTTTTTCTACTCGTAATAAGTTCCTTGAAATAATAATTTCTGAATATTTTTTAAAACGTAACTCGGCTATGGAAAGAAACATTGATTTATACATGACGATAAAATTAAATTAAATAAAAATTAATTTTTTCGGTCGACGATAAAATACCATTTTATCGTTTTGTATAAAAAAATAACTCTTAGTATTTGGAGCAATTATTAATCAACGCAAACAGTAAATTATTGTACTTCGAATACTGGGATCATATTAATTTGTCTTCTTTTACAAATATTTAAACATTTTCATTATTTTTTAATGAAATAAGTGAACTAGATCTACAATATTAGTATCTGGTACTCTTTGAAATTTTGTTACATCTTTAAAAATAATCTAAAATGTCAATATACATGGGTATATTGATAAATGAGATATAAATTAGAAGAAAATGCATTTTCTACGAAAACTTGAAGAGATAGGCAAGAAATGGTATAATACAATTTGATATAGAATTCAATTTTGCATCTGACTTTCGTAAAATATACAGGGTGTTCCATTTAAACTAAAAACAACTTATTGACGTTTAAAACCAGTAATTATTTAAGATAAATATTTAGACACTCTGCATAAGGTAGTATTATTTTTATTTTTGCAACACAAAATTTAATAAATAGAAAAACTTCAGTACAATATTTGGTTTTAAAAACTTAAATGCGCCTAGAGAAATGAAGCATTAAAATTGGTAACTGAATTTTCACGAAAACGTAAATATTTCAAAAACTGTAAGATTTAAGTGCGGTAAACCTTAATCAAATTTATCTTTGTTTTAATCGTAGAAACTGAAAATGTAATAATATACAGGATAATTCGCTTAAAAATACAACTTTAATATTATTTATTGATTTGGGACACTCGGTACCTTTTGAAAATAATTTTAAATTGTAGTTTTAATAATCCTCGAACAATCTCATCACTCACAATTCTTTTTGTGTGTTAAATGACCAGTTATCGAGTTAAATGAGGTGAATAACCGTGTGTAAAAAAAATTGGCGCCGGGAGGCACGTATAGCCGACCATACTAAAATATGTTAATAAAAAGTTGGTAGGCAGTTCTTTTAGTTTCAAAGTAAAGGAATTTTTCCAATTTTTTTATCTCAAAAACTGCGACTTTGCCTGATTTTGATGTTATTACAAATTTTGTTGCAAATATTATTCCTAATCTTAAATTGAAAATCGCGTTTCGCTAGCTACTGTAATTTTGGAGTTACAATTTTTATAAATTTTTAACCCCCTCTCATACCCCCTTACCAACGCCCCACCCCCACCAAAAACTAATGGCCAGATTCTCGGGTGCCACAGTATTTTTGTGCCAAATTTGGTTAAAATCGGTTTAGCGGTTTTTGAGTTATCCTGTTAGACGGACAGACAGACAGACACCATGAAAATATTTTGTATTTAGGTCATTTATGACACAAATAACTCATTTTGAGTGAAATTAAAAAAAAAATGCCGATCTTAGTAGCCTACCATACCTGTTGGTATGGTCGGCTAAAAAAGAGTATATCTAAGTGGCCATACCTAAAACAACAGACTGATTTAACCATTTGCTGACAAAAACGTTTTCTGGTTTTGATTCCATCGTGTCATTTTCGAATTTCCATAGCACATTATAAGGAAGTTTATTGAAGACTGACTTAAAAATTTGAACTTGATCTGGTGATAAAAAGTCTACTAGCTTTATAGCTGCGCCTAAACTAAAATATATCACTCCATTATTCGATTTGTCCAAGAAATCTTGTAAATCCTTCAAAATAAAAACACAAATATAGTGGAATCAAAGATATTTAAACTCGGGAGATACAACGATCCATTCATAAAACGCTCTAAATCTTCATCACACTTTGGTTTGCAAAAATCAACGAGTGCGAGAGAGAATGGACAAAGAAGGGAATAGGGTATCGGCGCAACGGCAACAATGTAGTGTTTACAAAGATTAGACGGTTGAGGTCAATTTCCAGTGGCGTGCCGATCGACCGATAGTATTTTAAGGAAATTCAAATAATCGTTTAATAAATTTTAAAAAATAATAATAACTGTTACATATTTGTCGCATTGTAAAAAGTTGAGGGAGGATAGTAATAGGAAAAAAATAAGTAAGAGGAAGGATAGGAAAATAAATAAAAACCGGCATAATTTTTTATTATAAGATGGCTTTTCGCATAAGAATAACGATTAAAAAAATCAATAAGCTTTTTTTACTTTATTTTATTAAATAAAATATCAAATTTTGGGTGTATTAGTAAATGTAGTTTCAATATCTTATTCCAAACCTTGATCATCTCCGGCGAATGAGACTCCCTCTATTAGCAATAACAAAATAAATCGACAGGGGGGTGCCGAGGAATTTTTTTTACGAAAAAATTTTGTATAACCGATTTGGTTATTTGATAATCTGTTTTAGACCCAAACACGTACTTTACAAAACTGTTTCGTTTTTGAGATTTGCACATTTTGTTCTCGAGATATTCGCTGCTAAATGTAGCGATTTGTTAGCACATTTTCTCAAATTGCTTGAAATCTATTCGAGATATCATTCTGCGGTTTTTGTCAGTGATGTCAGATTTTTGTCAGATTCTACGTAAAATTAGCTATCGGTAAGTATATTTTAGTTGCAATCTGAGACATTTTCATTTTTGACAAAATCGACAGGGGGGTGCCGTAGTGATGGGTTGTTATTTAACTATCTGTTATTTTATAACAATTATTTATAAATAACATAACGCAACCGTTACTACTTCTAAAAAATAACGACAGGTAGAGATCGGCCGCTCGTAAAACGAAAAACGAAGTCGGCGCTCTGCACCGTCACGAAATTCTATGCTGCTCGAAGCAATTCCAAAAAACAACTAGTATGGATGGAAAACATGTTATTTCGTCAACCATCGATACAGGCGGCGAGACAACGGACAACGGAGTGGGGAATGCGTCAGCGAACGTAGCTGCTTCGGTCGATACCGCTTAAAAATAATAGGATATAAAAGAAGCAGGTTTTTTGAAACAGTTGCGGGCATAACGCCTGGCGGTCGAGATAACAGGAGTGGGAAAGGAAAGCTGCTGCATCGGTCGATTGTCGATGGAGGCTCGCAACGGGTTGGAGAAGCAGTCATTTTAGACACGTTGTTTTTTCAACCTGTTATGAGCATAACAGGGCGGTGGTCGAGATAATCGGGGTGGGAAAGGAACGCTGCTGCATCGGTCGATTGTCGATGGAGGTTCGAAACAGTTTGGAGAATAACGCATCAGTTATTTTAGATAGTACATTGTTTTTCAACCTGTTACGAGCATAACGGGCGGAGGTCGAGATATTATGGCGCTGTATGTTTCAGTACTTACTTATTAAGTTTCAATATTTAGGTCTTTATTTATTCTGAAAAATTTTCAGAATAATATTTTAAGATTTTTTAAAAATGTATACAGGGTGTTTTGAAAAATCTGGTGATTGATTAATCACGATCCTGCTTAAAGCCCTTGACGTGAAAAGCTGATTTTTAGAAAACGGATTGACTTTAGGGTGTAGATGTTCAATAAGAAGGGATTTTTCGAAACTCGAATTCTAAGGGGGTGAAACTACCCTCAAATATTAGAATATTTTTTATTTAAAAACCGGTGAGTATATTTTATTATGTTGTTTTACATATATTCAGATTTTTAAAAAATATATACAGGGTGTTGCATAAAATATGACCATTGAGTAATCACTATTCTGCTTAAACTGCTTGACGTTTAAAGCTGATTTTTAGCAAACGGCTTGACTGTGGGGTTGAGGTTCGATAAGGAGGGGTTTCTCGAATCTCAAATTCCAACAGGGTGAAAACGCCCCTCAAATATTACAATATTTGTTATTTAAAAAACGGTTAGTCTTTCGGGAAAACGCCTGGACACGCATAATTTATTTTGTTTTTTTACATATGTTGACATTTTTTCAAAAATCATACAGGGTATTCCAAAAGCTGAGTAATTGATTAACCACGATTCTGCTTAAACTGCTCGACGTTTAAAGCTTATTTTTGGCACATATGAGAAAATTTTATCCAGTCTGTATTTTAATGGAAATTCTTGTTTTGCTTTATCATCACCATTAGAAATTATTAATTCGACACGAACGAAGTCGCGGGTACACGCTAGTTTAAGTGTACTTCTAATTCGAACTCTAGTGTGTAGTTGGTTTACTTATGAAGAATATACTACACATTTTCTTATATTGCTATTTTTTGACCGCAAATGGTAAAATCATAACTAAGAGCTTCTCGCCCGTCGAGTAAGATGCACCCTGTACACTGCTACTCAATTCAGGATCTACGCGGATCGAGGGGCAGGGCGTAGGTAGATCGGAATGTATAGGTATAGACGAGTGGCGGAATTTTGGCTTTTTTTATATCGCAATTTGTAAACAGCGCTTATTTGTAAACAACCACCGTTTTTAGAGAGGTATTTTAGATAACAATCGATATTTAGAAATGTTTTGACACCCTGGAAATATTACCACCGAGCACGTCATTGTTGCAACTTGCAACTGCGTTAATACGCCTGGCGGTGACCGCCTCATACTTTCAGATATTTAGCAGTAAAATAAAGAAACCTGTTATTTTTAAGCTGTTATTTTAAGCTGTTTTTTATAAATAACTATAACAGTTTCAACTGTTATCTAAAAATAACAGTTTTGCCCATCACTAGGGTGCCGAGGAAATTTTTTGACGAAAAAATTTTGGATAACCGATTTTGAATATCTGTTTTAGACCCAAACGCATACTTTACAAAACTATTTCGTTTTTGAGATTTGCACATTTTGTTCTCGAGATATTCGCTGCTAAATGTAGCGATTTGTTCGCACATTTTCTCAAATTGCTTAAAATCTATTAGAGCGGTATCATTCTGCGGTTTCTCTCACTACGTAAAATAAGCTATCGGTAAGTATATTTTAGTTGCAATTCCAGACATTTTCATTTTTGTCAAAATCGACAGGGGAGTGCCGAGGAAATTTTTTGACGAAAAAATTTTGGATAACCGATTTTGATTATTTTATATTATCTTGTAGACCCAAACGCGTACTTTCCAAACTTTCGTTTTTGAGATTTGCACATTTTGTTCTCGAGATATTCGCTGCTAAATGTAGCGATTTGTTCGCACATTTTCTCAAATTGCTTGAAATCTATTAGAGTGGTATCATTCTTAATCGAATACTAATATCAATATACAGGTAAATCTGACAAATGTTTTCGGGGTAAGAGAGATGCGAAAATAAGGATAGAATAATGGCCGCTGAAGGAAAAAGATAAACAATTGTATCTCTTGAGTTTAAATATCTTTGAGTGGAACGCTTTAAGCCCTTATGGGATACAAACCTCGGAATTCATTTACTGTAAACGATTTTTTATAAAACTTTTTGCATTGTATTGTTAATAAGATATATTACAAAGTTTACCCATTTAAATTCGTTGCTTTCACTTTAGTATTTAAAGATGGCTCCGTGTTCCGAAAAATCTCTTATCGGAATTCCTATTTGAGATTTTCACTTCAAACATTTTACAAGATATGTGTTTAATGGTAGCTCACATTTCAAGAATCTTTTTATACCTATGATGAAATGATATATATGTATATGATATAATACCTATAATGAAATGCTCTATATATGTTTAGTTCAGTAAATTTGCTATAAAATCCAGGTTTCAAAAATACCTTAATACCATAGGGTATACTAAGTGGTTATTGAATTATGACCACGTCCAAGAGGACGTCAATCTAGACGCTCAGGGACAATCGTATGAGAAATTCTAATCGAGACGATTGACTATTATATACTATTGTAAGTTTATTGCTAAGAAACCGCCGCTTACCAGCTTTTCAAATTTATAATGAATTGCACCTAGAATTTTTAGAATTTAGAATGAGTGGGAGGGGGGTTGATCACTTCGACCTTACAGATCCATTGTGTCCCCCTTTCTTGAATCATAACTCATCATACAGTCCCAGGGCTTTGACAAAAGCCAGTATCTGGGACGGTTTTATAGAGGGTAGTTCTCCATCTCCAATATCAGTCGTACCAAAATTCATGGCACGAATGGTTGTCGTCTCGGCGCACTCAGTGATGAGGTGTACTGGTGTTTCACCATCTTCCCCACAGAATCTGCATTCGCCGTTTCTTCTTAGTTTCAATCTACTGAGGTGTTCATTGAGGAGACAGTGTCCTGTTAAAACCCCGTGACAATCCGAAGATTGTTCTTACTCAGACCCAGGAAGATCTGTAATTTTTCTTGATCATAAGCCCTCAGAAACTTCTTCGAGTGTCTTAGACCATTGCAAGATTTCCATTCCAGGTTGCGGATGGAATCTTCCAAGTTCTTGAGTTCCGCCTTGAGTTGGTTACCACTTGGAAAGCAGAACGGTTCTGGTCCAGTTAGTGGAGTGTTAGCTCCTTTCCTAGCTAGATTATTTGCTTTTTCATTGCCTTCTATCCCTTGGTGAGCAGGCACCCAGAGTAGGAGGACTTTGTTTTCTTTGCCTAATTTATTCAGCTTCTCTATGCATTCTTTGACCAATTTCGAATTGATTGATACTGAGTTGATCGCCTTTAACGCTGCTTGACTATCAGATAAGATGGCTATTTCTTGTTTCCGATAGTTCCAATCTAAGATAAGTTGTACGCATCTCTCGATAGCGTAGATTTCTGCCTGTAGGATACTAGGGTAAGTGCCCATTGGTTCGAATTGCACCTAAGGAATGTACATATTAACTAACGGACTATAAGAAGAAGACTAAATGAAGCAAATCTTGTGTCAAGAAGGCCTGCTTCGGGACCAGAACTTACTAGATCTGTTGACTAGGATTAAAAGCAAAAGCATGGTCTTAATGTAAAAATTACGAAAAAATGTTAGTGTCTTCTTCAAAAGCGAATATGTCCTATAAAAATAAGTCTAATGAAGTGAACCAAGAAACAAACTATCGAGAAAGGGCGTATCTAGGTGATAAAATTTTTAAATGTCTTGCTCTTTTAACATATTCCACAGGGTGTTTCAAACTTTTACCAAAATATCAACATCGTATAATTAACAGATGGGGAATTTAATTTTTAATTTAGAAAGAGATACTAAAAAGTCAAATAATTTGGCTACATACTGCTTAAAAAATCATCAAAATCGGCCCACTAGAACAAATTATATTAAACTTTAAAATACATCAAAGTTTTAAGGTGCCCATTTTTCGTGCCACTGAATGTATTTCAAAAACTATACATTTTAGTCATATACCTTTCTAATGAAACTCTACTTTATTTTTTTCAAAAATATCAATAATATGTAGTGTGTTCAATTACAAAAAACACAACTTTGATGTGTAACTTTTTTTGGGGACACCCTGTAGAACTCTATAGACTTTTAGAAAATTCTTTAAATTCACATACATAAGCTCACAAAAATTCACTTCAATACAAACTTTTGTTCTCCTTGCAGAAACCGCGTCGTATATGACGCGTCACCCTGTATAATTCGATTTCAATCAAAACTTCAATGATTAGAATATAAGCAGAATAGATATATCGTTTATCTCAATAAATTTACTTTAAAATTTTTTAGAAATCAAAAAATTAAGAAGGAAATAACTAAGGATGTACTAAAATTACTAAAATAAAAAATTCACTGATTTTGCAACATGTGCAACCATCATAGGCGTATTGAAAATACCAGACACAAGTCGGCGGTTGTTGACAATCACCTGTTTTTTTACATTTTATATTAACTTGTGGCGTCATTTGGGAGAGCTCAATAGAAATATAAAAGAACTAAACCTTGTTCGTTGAAAAGCAATTTGACATTCGTGACGACAGCACTCTGGCAGTCTAACGCAAACGTATCATTGATAGCTATTCACAAATATATTCCAGATACGTATAGTGAACAAGTTTAACGTTCGCAACGTTAAATAATTTTGATATATGATTTTTATCGTGATGGTTTTGTGTAAAAGTGTGAAAACAATTTAGTGACGAAAATATTAATGATGGATATGAACGTGTGCGGATTCGTCATTGGTCACGATCACGGTCACGACACTATGACGGGCTCCTATACCCACGTAGGAGCCCAAAATATGCAAAAAGGGGGTCAGTTTAGCTTAAGTTTAGATTAGGTCTATATTTTTTATTAATGCAAAACCAACTAAAACCTAATTCTAATCTAACCTAAACTCACTTCTTCTTTTGCATATTTCTGGCTATTACCTGGGTATTCCTAGGTTTAACCAATATTCGAACTTAGGTGTAAATTTAAATTTATGGATGGCCCATAAATTTATATATTCGCCGTACAAAAAATACTTTTCCAATTTTCACAATAAAAATTAAAAGTTATAAATCATAATATTTTTTATAGAAATGAGGGAATAAGGGTGAACGGGGTGCCGCGCCGGTAGACCAAGAAGATACTTAGAATGTAAATGTTAATTTATACTCGAATGGAGTTGCCTCACAGTATAGGCATATTTTGAATCCCTACCGTGCATAGTTACTGTAGATAAAAATAAATTAAAATATAGTTGGCTCCAACGATAATTTAGTTTGCAGCTTCTTTTCATCATGCCTAATAATAAACCGTCACAATCACTACTCATAGTATGTACCTATGTATTTTTAAACATCATTATGAAATTAAAAATACATAGGTGCCCATAATATGAGTAGCGGTATTTTTTTTCGTTTCATCATAACGGATTTTGTTGGGCTGAAAATAAGCAGCAAAATATATTATCGATTGCAACAACTATACCTAGTTTATTTTTAGTATATTCAATTAATATAGAACATTATAACTATGCATACTTTTAAAAATTTGCTACCAATATATTGTGATAGTTGAGTATTTGAAATTATTTGTTAGCTTCTTAAACAAAACAGACCCATAATAATTCAAATCTTTATCATTCAAGACTTCCAAGAATTATGAAGTAATCTCACGTCAAAATTTTTTAAAATTATTGCATGCCTTAAGTATTTGCAAAGTTAACAAAAATATTTCTTTGGGTACCTTGCAATTAATATATTTATTCCAATTTATCAGTTCTGCATCATATCCGAAATTTAGATTGTGTGTGACACAACGAAGAGTTAAAGTGCAACGTGAACGACCAGAAAAATATCAAGTAAAAAAAAATTGTTAAGTTTTAATTACTAGTTACGCAGTCCTTCCCCCCCCCCCATATTGGCTTCCCTCTTGCCTAAAATCTATATTGTCTTTCCTAACATTTTAAATATAAATGATTGAAACTCATACAAGTTTACCATAATTTAAACTTAAGATAGTCCCTAATTATATTAAAAAATAACACTTACGAAGTTAATAAATATTAACCATTTCTACTTATTTTTAATCATTTAATAATTCTGATAAAAACACGCTTGATTTTTTTATTTTAGAAATCATACGGGCTATAATAATTAGTATGACTATATTAACAATACTTAAATATTAAAATTTATTTGAAGGAATGCTACTGTATTACAATAATTGTAAAACACGTATGTTTATCGATGTCGGCGTCTTGTCACTTTTATTTAGTCTTGTCAGTATAATTTTATTAGCCGTTTAGGTATAGTTTGATTTCAGATAATGCAGATTTTAATGGGCCATTTATGGTTTTTTTATTTGATTTTTTTTGCATATTTGGTATATTCTATGAAGTGATTTTAAGTGTTCCTGACCATTTTTCAATTATTAAAGTGCCTATTTAGATACATTTAAAATGAATTGATTAATGTATAGTATTTGTATTATGAGTTTGTTTATTTCTGAGATGTATTTTTTTCTCATTAAAATAAACATAGCTTACTAAATCACTAGCTAGCCATTTTTAAATACAGGGTGTTAATTAAGTATCTGGCCAAACTTCAGGAGGTGATTCTTTGAGTGTTTTAAGGTAAAAAGTTCATATAAACATGTGTCCGGAAATGTATAATTTTAAAGATACAGGGGTCAAGGTGTTTTCTAATAGACCTTTTTTATTAATATCCCAAAGATCCGTTAGCCGATTTTGTTGAAATTTCGCCATGTTGTGAACTTTGCTAAATTAGCACTAATTAAATGATAATTATTATTTACAACAATATTCAAAGGATAAAATCTTATTCCAATAAATATTTGGCAACGCCTTGGATTCATGTGTTTTTACGCCTGTTGGCGGTGGAAACCATGCAAGCTTTTTCTTTGGCATAAGTAGTTAATTAAAAAATAATAATCATAAAAAATATAGGTCCTAATAGCCTAAATTTTAGCAAAATGTATCAGCAGATCCGATGAGATCCGAGTTATTATGTTTTGGAACTTAATTATTTAATTAATTATTCCTTTTAATGCATTTACCTATCCTACGCGCCAAGAAAAAAATATTGCATTAGTCTAAATTTATTATTTATGGGATTCCACTCTTTCACGTATAATTTGCCCCTTGCTTCTCATACGGAAAGAGTTAGATTAAAATAGCCAAACTGTACCTAACAACCCATATGCCTTGACGCATATTCTTTTTATAATAATATGGGCTTTCTTTATCCGCCGGCCCAGACAAACATCCATATCCATAAAATAGTTGGCCCACACACACACACACACATTGATAAATTAATAAGACCTCATTTCGGCCATCAAACGTCCTTCGATGATCAACGCTGGCTAAACTATCGACTTACGTGTTGACAAGTTGATTAGGCAGGTTATTGAACTCGTGTGGCATCGAGAATGTTGTTTTTTCAAAGATGGGTATTTTTTCAAACGCGGCCAGAAGTATTTTCAATACTAAAATTAAAAGCAACGAAAAAAATGGGTAAACATTTTAGTATTTTATCTAAGACACAATTCAGAAGGTTTTACATGAATACATTCACAGTAATTGAATTCCGAGGTAAAAATCTCTGGGCACTCTACTAATATACTAAATTAGAACATATAAAAAAATACTTACCGGGTTTAGAGTTTGTACAGCTCTATTATAGTTAAGTCCCCCAAATTCAATTACACCAGGAACTACAGGCATTATTCTATGGGATATCTGATTTCTATTCAACAGTAACACACTAACATTTCTCTCAATTTGTCCTAAATATGGAAGGTTGTTCTCAAGTACTTCCTTACAGTCTTGTCTTCCATAGGGAGAATATGCCAATGATAATAAATTCTGATCCAAATTGAATAAAAAATAGAAAGCAAACGATCTCTAAACGAAAAATTTGATCTTCCTATTGGAACATTTTGATCGGGCGTTACTACAGGATTTAAAACGTTCCCTATAGCATCTAAACCATTAGTTGCAGCACCTAAGGAACAAATCCCAATTAAAGGTGCCTCATAGTATCCTCCCAATGCTGCCATAGTTGGATAGAGCCATTCAACTATAACGCTATCAAACCTGAGTTTAGGTTGGGCATTAATCAGCTTCGAAAATTCTGGTAAAGTTAAGGCATATTCGTTTACAGCATGCCAACCTCTGGCTACCGAAAATTCTTTCGTAAATGTATCGAAAAAAGTTGGTTTCTGTAAGGAAAATTTTACCCGTTGTTTAAATTTCTTATTCATTTCCGCTGCCCAGCTGTAAACAGCACTTATGTCGTACTGTTTCAAGTTGGGGATCGTACTGTTCACTAGGGGGTTTGGTGTTACGACATGTACCTCATGACCCCTCAATGCTAAAGCTTTCCAAATTTCTTGAAACGGTTTTTGATGACTGGGAGATGGTGTGACAGAAACAAACAAAATTTTAGCGCACGACACATAGCAAAGACATAGATATAGCACAAAAAATTCTTTTATCCACATAATTTGCACCTTTTAAAACCACTTTCTTAAATCAAAACGCGTTGTGTGTATTTTAATCTATTATTACCTTATCTCTGTATTTATTTAAAGTACCCTGCAGATTGATAAGTTCGTAGATAATATTTAAAAACTCTAAATATAAGGAACTTTATAATAAATTTAATAATAGTATATTGCTTTATTAGGAGTAAAAATGACATACAGGCGACCCATAAAAAGGCATCTTTACTCCGAATAGAACATGCTATTTTTTTCAAGCTCCACAAATAATTTTTTTAAACAATTTCAAACGTTCCAAATAATATAAAAAGATTCGGGAAACTATGGTTACGCTCGTTGAATTTGACACTTTATGTCAGTTTAATAATTATATTTTTATACTTTTGTGCTTAGGCGTCAAAGTGCTTTACTTTTATGCCTAGGCGTTAAAATGACTTTTTATATTGCCAATCACGTAGCAAAAATTAATATTTATGTGACGTTTGAAAAAAAAAGAGATTTGGTATATTAGTATGTTACATAAATTAAGATTGACGTGTTCAATTGTTTTCGGTCACTTCCTGACACCACGGTATTTTTACTTTATTCGATAGAAAATGACACTTCGAATAGAATGACATATCATATGTCAACTATTGACATTTTAGCATATGTTTTATTTGAGATTGTAACATGCGGTTTATAACGACAATTTGACTCAAAATATCAAGAGTGTGGTATCAAATTATGTATTGTTTGAAGGTATTATTTGAGGAACGACTGGGTTTTCGCTTGATGATACTTAAAGGAAACGTATTTACGTGTAAATGGGCAAAGAAAAATGATTTTAAATATTTTCAAGTTGACCGCTACTGGGCGTAATAGCGACACAAAATCAATAATAACAATTATCTCTTAAATTTTTCTATTAGAGAGATATAATATTATGGGTTGACAGCCTGGGTTGACAGCCGACGTCATTTATTTTTATTATTTTTTAAATAACCTAAAAAATGAAGTGTAATTAATAAAAAATATCATATTAAAAGGCCTTTTTCTATGAAACTGTGTATTGTGGTATTGCAGATAAACCTATTTCTGATTGTAGAAAACTATTTATAACAGGTATAATTAGCAGAAACAACATTTAAAGGACAAATTCATTAAACGAATCTGAAAAACATGTTTATTTCCGTTTAATAGTTCCAGATTTTATATCATAATACCATAAAATAGGTATATTTTAATTTTAAATGCTCAAAAATAGCACAAGTTTAAAAGGGCACTTTATACACTATTGAATAGACCGATTTATCGACAAATATTAAAAAATTATTGGGAATTTGATGACTATTCAAGTTCAAATTTAGCATTTGAGAGTCAGTGGAAGCTCTTTATGCGTTTTTGAAATATTTATGGATAAAAATATTTTTACAGAAAACTCGGGCGGTCTGTTATGATCCCTATTATTGTAAAAAGCTTTTCCAGCAAACATTTGCTATTTTAGATATTATTTATTACTAGCGTGTACCAGCGACTGCGTCCGCGTCGAATTAATCATTTGTAATGATGATGATAAAGCAAAGCAAGAACTTCCATTAACATACAAACTGGTTAAAATTTTCTCACATTTATGTCAGCATGAGAAAAAACAATATGGCGATATTATTATATAACTTGGTAATATTTGAGGGGTAGTTTCATCTTGTTGGAATTTAACTTTCGAAAAATCCGTTTGCCAAAAATAAGCTTTTTACATCAAGCAGTTTAAGCAGAATCGTAGTTAAGAAATTACCCAACTTTTTGAAACACCCTGTATGATTTTTAAAAAAATTTCAAAAATATGTAAAAAAAAACAAATAAATGATTATGCTTGTCCAAGCGTTTTCCCGAAAGACTAACCGTTTTTTAAATAACAAATATTGTAATATCTGAGGGGCGTTTTCACCCTCTTGGAATTTGAGAATCGAGAAACCCCTCCTTATCGAACCTCTACACCCCATAGTCAATCCGTTTACCAAAAATCAGCTTTAAACGTTAAGCAGTTTAAATAGAATCGTGATTACTCAAAGGAAATATTTTATGAAACACCCTGTATAAATTTATAAAAAATCTTAAAATATGTAAAACAACAAAATAAAATATATGTTTAAGAATTTTTCCGAAAAGCTCACCGGTTTTTAAATAAAAAAATATTTTAATATTTGAGGGATAGTTTCACCACTTAGAATTCGAGTTTCGAAAAATCCCTTCTTATCGAACCTCTACACCCTAAAGTCAATCTGTTTTCCAAAAATCAGCTTTTTTCGTCAAGCGCTTTAAGCAGGATCGTGATTAATCAATGACCAGATTTTTCGAAACACCCTGTATACATTTTTAAAAAATCTTAAAATATGTAAGAAAACAAAATAAAATATACGTTTTTTTAAGCGTTTTTTCGGAAACTTGACCTTAATAACTTGACTTAAATAAAAAATATTGTAATATTCCACCCCCCTTCTTACCCCCTTAGGGGATGAATTTTCAAAAATCCTTTCTTATCTCACGTAAACATCATAAAAGGAACCCCGGTGCAAAATTTCAGCTTTCTAGGGTCAGGGGTTTGGTTTGGGCGTTGATGAGTCAGTGATGAATGAATCAGGACTCTCTTACAGATTTATATACATTCATATATAGATTTCATGTTTACCTATAAATAGATTTACCTAATACAGTTATAATTTTAGACTCAATATTCAGATTTGTTATTTTTGTAGTACAATCGAAAGTTATATTTTTTGTAAACGAAGTGTGTCGTAAAGTCATATACAAGGGATGAAAAAATAAGAAACGGGTTTTAAAAGTTAGGATTTTTTTTAAATACAACGTATAAAGGTTGATTCTCACTATACCTTCCATATTCCAAATCAGCTCCTTTCCGTTTCCCCTTTCGTTTACATAAAATATTATATCGTGTAAATGAATAGGACAATGCACACTATCCGTTCCATATCCTTTCCTTCCATTTTTTTGGCGGACGGACTGAAGCGTATCGGAAATAGCGTTGTCAAGTTCTTACATTTGTACCAGCTCTGTTAAAATTTTGCTGATATTTATTTATTCTTTCGCCTCTTAATTAAATCTATTACCTTTTCCAAAAATACAAAACTTTCGTAATGATATAAATTGCACAATAAAAAGTATAGAACTGATACGGAACGGAAGCTTACGTACAGCGTCAATACAATAAAAAATACGGAACGGATATTGAATAAATATGGAATGAAAACGGAAGGTATAGTGAGAATCAACCTTAAAGAAGATAAAAATGTTCTTGAAATTGTTATATTAGCGGTTTTTTTATAAATTCTACGTAAAAAATTGAAAAATAAAACTATTTTTTTGAAAGGTTATACAGGGTGTTTCAAAAAATATGTGCCATCTATTTTGGGGAAAATTTGAAAATTTATTTTTCACATCAGCATATGTCCGATTCTGCTTTGTTTTGTAGATACAGGGCGTTAGTGTCTTAATATTTTTTCGATTTATTATAATTTTCTTCCAAGTAATTTTAGCGTTTCGAATGAAATTTTGAGGGTAAAAGTTACTATGAATGCGACATATTTTAAAGCTAAAAAAGTGTCGACATATTAACCAAGGACGTGCATATGGGTTGTCACTGGAATATTTTTCTAAAAAAAGCATATACGCCACTGATTTATTTTTCTCTTGTTAGCGAAATAGTGTAAGCAGTTTAAAGCCGATTAAAGATTGTCTCTTGATATTTTGTCGATTTCGGCCCCCTTGATGAGTTAAACGCAATTTTATTAATTTGCTTTGATCCAAATCTAATAGCAACCTTTAAAAAAAAATTATTTTATTCATTAACTTGCGACAGTTTTAAATAAGTACTCATTGATTCCTTATCAAAAAATGTAAAAAAGGTTCCTATAAAGATGGGTATGGAAATGCATAGTTTTAGAGTTACAGGATGTTAAAAGTTTTTAAACTTAGTTTTTTATATCATATTTTTCTATTTGAAATTGTTGTATGTTGGACTAATAGAAATAATATTTAATAATAAATTAGGTAAAATATACCTATGGTCTATTAATTTTATTTTTATTTTAATTTTAATTGTGATTAATATAATTGCGTTTATATCATCAAACCGAACATCAGGCCGAACTGGAAAAAATATCAAGAGATTTAATTTAATAAGAACTTTTAATTGGCATTAAACGGCCCACACAATTCTGATTTCAAAAGAAAAAAGTCAGTGGTGCATATTTTTTTTTGAAAGTGATAAATCATATGCACGACCCTGATGCATTTATTGACACTTTTTTAGCATTAAAATATGTAGCACTTATAGTAACTTTTACCCTCAAAATTTCATTCAATTTATTAAAGTACTTGGAGGAAAATTATCATAAATCCAAAGACTATTAAGATTTTAACACCCTGTAGCTACGAAACAAAGCAGAATCGGGCCTACGTTGATATAAGTATTATTTTTACGTGAGGAATCTTCCCCCGAGAGATGGCACATGTTTTTTAAAACACCCTGTATACAATACCCAGGAAATCGACAAATTGATAATTTTTATCTGAAATAACTCTAAAACTATTAATTTTCGCAAATATAGTTTAAATAGTGCAATTGTAAGGCTCACTAACTCTATCCATAAAAGGGTAAACGATCATTTAAAATATGTGCATGAAAAAAAAAGGAAATTCATGAACAATTCGAGATATAAAATACGTGGACGAAGTCGCGGAATAAAGCTAGTTATTATAATAATTCGTAGTTATAGAGAAACGATCAAATTGGAAGTCAGTTTTTGCTGACCTGCCTCTATCGTATCCAGAAACACAAATTAACTTTGTCGAACATAGATTCTCCGTCAGACTAAAACGAATTAATTCCAATCGATGTTTCGATCATTCCGTTCTGTGCCCGTTGACCAATTCGGAATCCCGCGAAGCATACATTTTTTGCCGCTGATCCCGCTGCCTGTTTGCTTTGTGGTTTTTGTGCTATTTTGAAACGTTACTTTTCAATTTTTTATTTCGGTAGCTGCTGCGGCGATCCATATAGTCACACG